AGAAGATAGAACCTTACTCATTTCAGGGGGGTTTGGGGGTAACTTAGAATGACTCGCAGGGATTTTTTAAAAATTTAGAAAGTGGTTCTAAGTTTCATTCCGTCAACACCAAAACTAGTCAACTTTCCCCATTTTTTGATTTGCACGAGTTTGAGAAAAACATGTCAACACCAAAAGTTTGAGAAAAAAACATGTCAACAACACCAAAACTAATCAATTTTCCCCATTTTTTGGACTCCCAGGAGTTTGAGAAAAACATGTCAACACCAAAACTAATAATTTTCCCATTTTTTGGATTCCAGGAGTTTGAGAAAAAACATGTCATCACCAAAACTAGTCAATTTTCCCATTTATTGGATTCCAGGAGTTTGAGAAAAAACATGTCAAAATGAGGCAATTTTCCCATTTTTTGGATTCCAGGAGTGGAGAAATATATAGATATATATATATATGTATGTGTATATGCATGTCTGTTCAAACCCTTTTGAAAGAAGACATTGTTTTTAGGGGCAACTTTACATTTCCATATCTTACCCTCTATTCTGGTATATGCGGATGGTTCTAAGTTTCAGTCCGTCAACACCAAAACTGTTTGTTCAAACCCTTTTGAAAGAAGACATTGTTTTTAGGGGCAACTTTACATTTCCATATCTTACCCTCTATTCTGGTATATGCGGATGGTTCTAAGCTTCAGTCCGTCAACACCAAAACTAGTCAATTCTCCCCATTTTTTGACTTGCACGAGTTTGAGAAAAACATGTCAACACCAAAAGTTTGAGAAAAAAACATGTCAACACCAAAACTAGTCAATTTCCCCCATTTTTTGGATTCCAGGGGTTGACAAAAAAATATGTCAACACCAAAACTAGTCAATTTTCCCCATTTTTTGGATTCCAGGAGTTGAGAAAAAACATGTCAACAAAAAATAATCAATTTTCCCCATTTTTTGGATTCCAGGAGTTTGAGAAAAAACATGTCAACACCAAAACTACTCAATTTTCCGCATTTTTTGGATTCCAGGAGTTTGAGAAAAAACATGTCAACACCAAAACTACTCAATTTTCCCCATTTTTTGGATTCCAGGAGTTTGAGAAAAAACATGTCAACACCAAAACTAGGCAATTTTCCGCATTTTTTGGATTCCAGGAGCTGAGAAAAAAGTATATATATATAATATAAATATGTATATATATATATACATATGTATATTACATGATTTTGCTATATTTGGAGGGTAGTGGTTCTAAGTTTCATTCCGTCAACACCAAAACTAGTCAATTTTGTCAATTTTTTGGAGTCCAGGAGTTGAGAAAAAAACATGTCAACACCAAAACTAGTCAATTTTCAACATTTTTGGATTCCAGGAGGTGAGAAAAACATGTATGTATATATATATATATAATATGTAATTATGTACATATGTATAGTACATGATTTTGCTATATTTGGAGGGTAGTGGTTCTAAGTTTCATTCCGTCAACACCAAAACTAGTCAATTTTGCCAATTTTTTGGAGTCCAGGAGTTGAGAAAATTACTTTACTTCGTGTGATCCCCACCATGACATTTATACATTTTTTTTACTGGCAAATCTTCTGGCATTCTATCTGACATATCTTCTGACATTCTATTTGACATTCTATCTGGCATATCTTCTGGCATATGATCTGGCATATCTTCTGGCATTCTATCTGGCAAATCTTCTGGCATTCTATCTGGCATATCTTCTGGCACTCTATCTGACATATCTTCTGGCATTCTATCTGGCATATCTTCTGGCATATATTCTGACATATCTTCTGGCATTCTATCTGACATATCTTCTGGCATATATTCTGACATATCTTCTGGCATATCTTCTGGCATATCTTCTGGCATATCTATATCTATCTGGCATATCTTCTGGCATATTTTCTGGCATTCTATCTGGCAAATCTTCTGGCATCTGGCATATCTTCTGGCATATTATCTGGCATTCTATCTGGCATGGCATATCTTGGCATATCTTCTGACATTCTTTCTGACATTCTTTCTAACTTTCTTCTGCACATTCTTTGTCCCATATCTTCCTACATGAGGTCCGGCAGGGAACACTTGGCGTGGATACTCGCGGTTGAGGTCCGGCAGGGAACACTGGGCATGGTCGCGGTTGAGGTCCGGCAGGTCGAGGTCCGGCAGGGAACACTGGGCGCGGATGGTCGTGGTTGAGGTCCGGCAGGGAACACTGGGCGCGGATGGTCGTGGTTGAGGTCCGGCAGGGAACACTGGGCGTGGATGGTCGTGGTTGAGGTCCGGCAGGGAACGGAACACTGTGGATCGCGGGTCGCAGTTGAGCAAGGACGACGAGGACGACGAGGAGGACGAGGAGGAGGAGGAGAGGAGGAGGAGGAGGAGCAGGAGGAGGAGCAGGAGGAGGAGCAGGAGGAGGCAACTGACATAAAATCTAACAACCCTCACCTGGCAGGTGGGGAAAAACATGTCAACACCAAAACTAGTCAATTTCCCCCATTTTTTGGATTCCAGGAGTTGACAAAAAAATATGTCAACACCAAAACTAGTCAATTTTCCCCATTTTTGGATTCCAGGAGTTGAGAAAAAACATGTATGTATATATATATATAAATATATAATATGTATATATGTACATATGTATATTACATGATTTTGCTATATTTGGAGGGCAGTGGTTCTAAGTTTCATTCCGTCAACACCAAAACTAGTCAATTTTCTTCATTTTTTGGATTCCAGGAATTGAGAAAAAAACATGTGTATATATAATATGTATATATGTACATATGTATATTACGTGATTTTGCTATATTTGGAGGGTAGTGGTTCTAAGTTTCATTCCGTCAACACCAAAACTAGTCAATTTTGCCAATTTTTTGGAGTCCAGGAGTTGAGGAAAAAATATGTCAACACCAAAACTAGTCAATTTCCCCAGTTTTGGATTCCAGGAGTTGAGAAAAAACATGTATGTATATATATATATAAATATATATAATATGTATATATGTACATATGTATATTACATGATTTTGCTATATTTGGAGGGTAGTGGTTCTAAGTTTCATTCCGTCAGCACCAAAACTAGTCAATTTTCACCATTTTTGGGTTCCAGGAGTTGAGAAAAAACATGTATATATACATATATATATATAATATGTAAATATGTACATATGTATATTACATGATTTTGCTATATTTGGAGGGTAGTGGTTCTAAGTTTCATTCCGTCAACACCAAAACTAGCAAATTTTCCCTTTTTTTGGATTCCAAGAGTTGAGAAAAAACATGTATATATATATATGTGTGTGTGTGTATATGTGAATTATTTCCAACAATTTCCCCGCATTTTATGGGTAGCTCAATTGCCAATGGGATTTCATTTAGCTCCTAAAACACCAGTGGATGCAGGCAATGCAATGTTTTCCCACCAAACATTTGTTTTGTGTTCTATTTCAGCTCCCGATTTCTGTAAGACAAGGGATATGTATATATATATATATGCATGTCTATTCAAACGCTTTTCAAAGAAGACATTGTTTTCAGGGGCACCTTTACATTTCCATATCTTACCCTCTATTCTGGTATATGCCAATGATTCCAAGTTTCTATATTTCCAAATGCACCTTACATATACATATTATATATATATACTCATATATTATATAATTCCAAGCAGTTCCCCAAAAATATAATCCCTTCTCCCTAATACTAAACGTCCCCCCCTAATAATAAACACGACAGGTAGTTTTTAGTATTAGGAGTGTATTTAGTATTAGGGAACCCTAATACTAAATTAAAACCCTTGATTAAAAAAAAAAAGCTATTTTTTCCGATCTCAAAACCAATTAAATTTCTTTATATAACGCTATTAAAATATTGCCAAAAATTGGATTTCGAAGCTTCCCCCTAATACTAAATTAAAACCCTTAATAATAAAAACTATGTTCTCCGACTTCAAAATCAATTAAATTTCTTTATATAACGCAGTTAAAATATTGCCAAAAATTGGATTTCGAAGCTTCCCCTGAAATACTAAATTAAAACCCTTAATAATAAAAACTAATTTTTCCGATTTCAAAATCAATTAAATTTCTTTATATAACGCAATTAAAATATTGCCAAAAATTGGATTTCGAAGCTTCCCCCTAATATTAAATTAAAACCCTTAATAATAAAAACTATGTTTTCCGATTTCAAAATGAATTAAATTTCTTTATATAACGCAATTAAAATGTTGCCAAAAATTGGATTTCGAAGCTTCCCCCTAATACTAAACACCCCGGGGTTGAGTAGTTTTTAGTATTAGGGGGGGAAACCCGCAAATGGTAGGTTGATTTTTAAATTGTTTTCTAAAGGGGATCAATTAAAAGTCAAATTGGCCAAACTGAAATTTTCTGAAATTGGAGATGGACGCCTGTTTTTAGTATTTGGGGGACGTTTAGTAGTAGGGAGAGGGGATTAATGGGATTCAACCACCAATCGGATTTCATGTGAACAAGCATATGTGGCAAACAAGCACATTCATGTGGCAAACCATGGCAAACCCAAGAATAAACCTATCATTTGGGGATGCTTTATACAGTGACATGTACCACCCATTTATGATGATTTTAGGTAGAATCTTTCGTTCAATCCATCAAACAACACATCATATTACTTAGCTAGTTTTACGGTTACTTTTCGGGTAAAAAACTGCGAGAGGGTAGTCATTTTTGGCTCTCGGCGAGCCATTTTTGGTAGTGGTTCTAAGTTCTGATTACGGTGAACAGTTTCGCAAAACGTAAAAATATTATAAATTTTATCAATTTTACCCAAATCTGACCGGTTAGTTCCGGTGACTTTTTCGGGGTATGGCAAATTTCCAAAATCAGGTTCTAAGTTCCAGTCCGCTAGTATATATATATGCAAAAAAAAAAACATAGAATCCCAAAGATATTGATATGTACCACTCTCTACCATCTCGCGAAAATTCGAAGGATCTCTGGATTTGCGCCTGATCGAGCCCTTGTGCGTTGAGCCACAAGGTTTCGCCCTTGACACCAAACCTCGGAGCTGGTGATTTTTGATGCCCAAAACGCTTCGAAGCTAACTCCAGCAGTAAACCCGTCAACACGACAAAATGCAGCTGTCATTACAAGAAAAAGAGTGTCCCAAAAACGACTTTCCAGATTCAAAATATATCTCTGTGTCTTCCCCAGCTTTTCAAAGTGCCCGGCCATTCGCGGAGGCGGTTCTTCCTCAGGATAACAAACAGCTGCAACGTGTCACTACTCCCAGGACTACTTGGACCATTGGTCCGTGAAGCGAAATTCACAGGACGGGCACGTGAAACCAAGGCTCCCACTGCTGGCACAGACGAAAAGTTGCTTGATAGAGCTTTTCTTCACTTATTGGATTGCAATATTACGCTAGAACATTCCCATTCTAATCCCCAGTGTAGAAGAATATCAGATAATTCATGATACCCTCTGGTAATTTGACATAGCTACTGGAAATGACCATTTATAAGTGATTTCCCTATTAAAAATGGTGATTTTCCATAGCTTTTTGTATGTTTACCAGAGGGTAATTCCCAACCATCAGAATTCCCATCAGAATTCCCATCAGAAATCCCATATCGAATTCACCCCACCAGATTTCCACGGCTCAGAGGCTCAGACTCCAGGGCCTGCACGTCGCAGCAGATCTCCAGGCCTTTTTCCTGTAACTTCGCAGCCATTGCGCGGCCCACCTGTGGAAAGCTGAACATATTGCAGATATCAATAGATAATATTGCAGATATACCATCTATAAATGGTTAATCTATATAGTTAATCTATGGTTCATCTATGGATAATCTCTGGTTAATGGTTAATAGATATACCCTCTGGTAAACATTCACAGTTTGCGAACTGGAAAATTGCCATAGAAATAGTGGATTTACCCATTGAAAATGGTGATTTTCCATAGTTATGTTTGTTTACCAGAGGGGAAAGGGGGGGTTCCATAAATGCTGGTACCCCTTTATCGCTGGATAGTTAATTTCATGGAACATCCGATATTATAGAATGGATGACTTAAAGGTAGCCCTATTTCAGGAAACCACCATGTGGTCAGGTATAATTATCCTAAAATGGGAATATTGAACTTTCAAAGATATTGTTCATTTTACTCATTTCAGGGATTGTTTTTCCAAATTCCAATATTCTACTCCAGGATGAATAAAGATTTGGACATGATTTTGACATTATATTATTCATTATATATATATATAATTATGTCTGCATGCAATTATACAATATTATATATATACAGTATATATATTTACGTATATACATGTATAAATCAGTGCTCCCAAACTTTACATAGCTAACCCATGATTCGTTGAGGCAGGCACCAAAAACAATCGACTAGTCTCAAAGGCTGTCATATCCTCAGTCTTCTTTGAGGTCTATCCGGAACCATGCAGCGATTATTGTCTTTGGTAACTTTTGACTTCTTTGGGTCATTATTCAACCATGTTCAACCCCACTGTGCAGCTTTTCTTTCATGCCACTCTTCTCCTCTCTGGAAAGCGATTAGATTAAAGAATTCTGGCATTCTGTGCCTCTCCAGCAGATGGGAGAACCTGCTACGTGTTTACAATGTCCAGAGCCAAGCCATGGTAATTTCCTCAAAACCGGCTCACTTGATCAGAGCGGGCGCATATAGATCGGCAGCCTGACTCTTTGGGTTATTTTGGGTTCAGGCAGAGGTTGTCACATCGGTAATGCGGGATGGGCCCATGGAAATTTTGAAGGGTAACTGCCATGAACGGGGATGAATTGGATGGGCCATGAATTGGCCCCAAGCTCTGGATCTCCAGGATGTCCCCCTAAATCCGCAACATGTCTGCGGAGAAGGGCAGGAGAAGGATGTCTTCCCCAGCACTGAACCACTGATCCTGGTGTCCCTGACCTGTTTGATAAGACCCAAGTATCTGGCTGAAGCATTTCAAACAAAAAATCGCCAACCCGCAAAAACAACATTTTGGGATAGTTAAAGCTTACCAACCATCATCAACGGTGATGGTTTAGTGATGTATTGGGTCATGCATTGTATTCCCCACCTCTGCTGTGGTGACGTATGAGGAGTCAGCCTTGGCCACTGCGATGAGGGGATTTTCCAGCCAGCCAGGTGTGATGTCCAGAGGGAATCCTGGAATTCCAATGGATCGCTAAGACGCCCACCTCTGGCTGTAAACCAGCAATCCTGGCGTCGTCAAGACTGTCATGTTTTCATATGTTTTCGCCATATCAGAATGTCTCCGCTTGTCCCCGGCCAAGTTTCTGATTTCCCATGCTTTGCTCAGGCTTCACACGGTGCAACCATCGAAGTTTCATATGATGATGGAACTTCGATTGCGGGAAAAAAGAAGAAGCGCCCCCATACATGCCTTTCCTTGCATTTCTCGCCCCATTTCTGTCCTCGTGAGTCTCAACTCCTTGAAGAGCGGCGCCACTTGCTCTTCAAGCATCTTTACAGTGGAGCTCCTATCAACAAATGATGTTCGGGAATGTTGGCCTTCTGTCTGGTGTATATATCGGGGATGAACAGCAACAATCATCAACAACAACAAGCTGTTCATGCACTGCGACAATTACAGGGATCCATAGTGCAATGACCCATGACATTTCCAGTAACCCAACGCAAAAACTTTGGCCAACTGAGGGGTTGAGAACCAAAGTTGTTTGCAACTTCCAGCCAAACACTCTCAAACTCAAACGCCATTGTTTTTCCCGGTAAATTACACGAGGGTTGGGTATTCTTACTTATTGACAAGCCCACATCTTCTTCATCTTGATTTCATGACGGAGAGGCGTCCTGTGGGATATAGCGTACTGGACAACCACGCCACCAGGTCTCAACAGTCTGTAAAACCTCAAATCATCTCAAATCATGCCAGACCTTGCATATGATGGTCAAAGAATGAAACAATTGCACAAGATTACATAAGAAATGGGGATTCCTCATGTGAAAGTTGGAATGACTTGAAACTGCCTTCTGCGCATCTGAAATTGGGGATTCCACCATGAATTTCCCTCTGAGTTCGTGGCTGGAGTGCCTCAAAGACACAAACCGGGAGGCCCCAACTTTCGTAGAGCTGCTTCTCTCCAATATATCTGCAGCCGGACACAATATTTCTGCCATGTTCTTCAGCTGGCGAAAATCAGATCCATCATCAGTTGGAAAAAAAGGAAAGCCTAACGACCTGGAACACCTCAAGACACCTAGGTTAAGGTGCTTTGGGGAACCATCCGATTTTTTTCGATGCTTTAGATTACCTTGCCTTGGACTGATGTTCAGCGGGTCGTAGAAGATCAAGTCATAGGCATTGGCTGCCAACTTGGGCAACACTTTCTGCCAGGGACCTTCGTGAACTCGAACAGAGCACACTGTGTCCTGCGCCAAGCGGGCTTGAAACTATGGCCGCTGTGGGCGCTTGTGGAAACCCAAAAACCCACGGTTGACGCTAAATTGAAATAGACATGGAAGTGAAGAAAAACCTTCGTTTTCAAGCAGAAACTAATCTTTCAGGGGTCTTGCAATGCCGCTCGTTTTCCATTGAACCGTGGTTCTCTCAGAGGTTTCGCGCATTTCCTCATGGTTTCCTCATTTTATCCGTTCTCATTCATTTCTCATGTTTCGACTTTGTCCAATGTCTTCTTCATGTTTTCCATGGTTTTCCTAATTTGTCCCTATCCGTCCCTATTATTTCATGGCCATAGGGGGTAATATCTCATTTGCAGACCCATATCATCATACCTCATATTGTTGGCTATATATCATTACATCATATACATCATATATATAATATATAATATATATTATATATGTTATATTATATTATATTATATGATATGATATGATATGATATTATATTATATTTTATTTTATTATATTTTATTATATTATATTATATTATATATATATGCTATAAATAATATATATATAATATATTATCCCATGGTATTCCCTTCTTCATCCCATGAATCTCCCATGTATTGCCCCTTTCCGCCCATGGCGCCTGTCTTCGAGAGGCCTCCGCCCTGGCATCCGCAGCCACCGCCGGATGGAGCTCCACCACCTCGTAGGCCACGCGCAGCTCCGGAAGACCTCCACGGGGCACCGGGCACCGTTGGGGAGTCTCAGGTTCTTCGGTTTTTTTGGGGGATTTGGAGGATTTGAACCCATCAAAAATGAGAATTTGGAGGATTTAAGCCCATCAAAAATTGGGATTTGGAAGATTTAAACCCATCAAAAATGGGGATTTGGATTATTTAACCCTTTAGAAAATAGTAACTTTAACCAAAAATTTGGATTTCATGGGACACAAAATGGAATTCGGGATTTCACCAATCGGGATAGACCATCATTTTTTCTGGGCAGATGATTTTTGTTTTTGAAATGGTACCCGCAATATTCAGAAACACCTATGGGTATGGTTCAAAAAATGGGGATACCTCAACAATTTAACCATCCAATTTTTTGAGGGTCCATATGTTTGAGCCATACTCATATCATGCGAGTTGTATCATGATGTATCTATAATATATATATATATATTTTTTTATATATATATAACATATATAATATATAATGTAATTTATAATATATAATATAAAATATATAATATACTATATATTATATATTATTATATATAATATGTAATAATAAAATAAATGTAATATGATATATAGATAATATATATTATATATACTATAATAAATAGTTTTATAATATATATATATATACATATATATATATCATATCATATAATATAAAATATTATATAAATATATTTTATATTAATGATGATTGAGGGATTATTCTCGTGCGCTAATGTTGTCACAGGTGTACCCCAATGATGCCAGCAATGGGGCTTCATAATATTTCATCAACAAGCAACAAAAGCTGGACGTTGCTCAATTGGTCAACTTAAGGTACCCTCTGTAAACATGGCTCGCCGAAAAATAGTTGATTTGCAGATGATGTTCCTTTCCAAAGAGTGATGTTCCGGTGCTAGGACGGATTACCCGCGGGGAAGTTTTGGAAGAGAACTTGAGGATGAGCCAGGAAGTGGATGCTGCAACGACCAATGGGGTTGCCTCAAGTGTGCCACCTGATGGTCTACTTCAGTCAACTTAAGGCTTTGGGCTGTCAGAGACCTATGGCTTTGGCTCAGAATATATCAAAATAGCGACGAGAAGTGCCACGATTGATCCATACCCATATTGTGATAGGGGGATGATTTTCTGTACGACTAATCAACAGTGGTTGCTATTACTGCACAAAAACACCCCGTCTCGCCCACAACAGCTTTTGTGTTTCTAATATTGTTGGGTCCAAGATTTGCGACTTTAGGCGTGTGGTGTTTAAGGTTTAGGGCTTTTCCTTTTGTTTTTGAGATTTAGGGTTTGGGTTTGAGGTTTATGGCTTTGGGGTTTTAGAGTTTCCGGGTTTGGAATAACCTGTGCAATGGACTCACAGGCCGTCCCCGAGGTTTTGACGACTGCCCTCGCATGCCTCAATCTTTGGGCGATGTGGGTCCACCAACCATCCACCAACCATCCACCAATATCTACACATCCTGCGGGCGACCTGCAGCATCTGCATTGTCCATCAATCTTCGACCGCTGATCCCCTGACAATGACTCGATCAGCTGGCCCTGAAATAGTCATGTTCCGCGAAATGATGAGATTTGCCATGGATAAAGCATTGGATTCTTCCGGGTACCCACCCAAACCATCACAAACATTGTTCGGGGGAAGATTTGCTGGGAGGTTTGCTGGCTTGGCACAGCCGCCTGTCCCCATCCAACTTCGAGGATTCGAAGGTTCTTTGGACCGACCGATTGCTTCACAGTCTCCAGAGAGATGCCGAAGCCAGCATCGGCCAAAGCGAACATGTAGGGCCACTCCCAATCCTACAAGGTTGTGCCCCAAATATCAGGTGTATAAACCCGTAAAAAAAACTGCTTCGATATATCCCCATAAGACATCATTTTTCACCATGGTTAGCCTGGCTATATACTAAGTCCATAAGTTACTCAACTATGAGACGCATGCTGCTTCACACAACACGTGGAACACGGCGGTCCTGCATCAACTGAATCTGGCCAGTGGCTCCACCTCTCAAATGCAAATGCTTCCCAAAGGACTCCTGAAGAGGCTTCCAGCCCCAGCCAGCCCACATCTCGCCTTTTTTGTGGGGCTAAGATGGGCCAACCATTGTTGAAGCACCTGGAAGAGGTTCTGTTGAATTTGTTGAATGGCGCAAAACTTTGAATCCAGACCCTTGTCCTTCTCAGCACCCAGAACTCCAGGTTCTGATTGCTCAACTTCAAAGGCCGTGAACATGTGCCACATCTTCTCCTGGCTCGTGAGATGCGGGCCACGAACCACCTTGCATTCCCGCCCATTCAAAAAAAACAAAGTGGTAAACCAACATGCCATAAACCCTATCGTTAATGGATGTTTATACATTATATTTATACATCTTTATCCAACCCACTTATGGCTGTTACTATGGCTGTTACATGCTGGTCATATTGGGGACTGTTCACCTCTTGGGGCGTGATGGACATCTCTTGGAGGCGGCTGGCCACGTGAGCAGCGCATTGAAGGGCGCCCTTCCCCTCTCCCAGCTGGAGCTTCAAGATTTCATGGAGCTCTCCTCAGATGGGGTAAAATAGCTGGTGAATGGATGGTTCTTCCACCAAATATACGTCGTAAAAATAGGTTTTGACATGTTTTGACCAAATCCCATGTCAGCCCTGATTTCATTGGACCCACCAATCGACTCCGGAAGAGAACCCGAAAAAAAAGGCAGCTCAATTCATCCAAAGAAAACGCATCTGTTTTCAGACGAAAACCATCTTCTCACAGGTTCCCAACTCATTGGTGCACTGGACTTCCGTGTCGCCCAGGGCTCGTCCCACTCTTTGCCGCGGAAAACGGAAGAGCAGCTGGAAAGGGTCAGCGGGATGAGTCATCCGCCACCGCTGAAGTTCCATCGACCTGGCTGCGCAAAGATTCTGTAAGGTGGTGTCTCCCTCGTGATTTTCCCAAACTGTAGATGTCTCCTCTAAATCCTACAATAAACCCTCTATCAAACATGGCAACGGAAAATCCTGAAATTATAGATGGTTTTGCCAGTCACATGCAAATTTATAGGGGATCTTCCTTTAACATGTTTGAGTACCGGAGAGTGATCATTGATTCTAGATATATGGAGGTTTCTTAACCCCCATTTATGGAAACCCCCATATGTTCTTGCTGTCAAGCCACATAGCATCCAGCGCTCGCTGAATCATGTCCTCCGCTTGCAGCCCACTCGCCACAGCGTGAAGTCCTCCATCCCGGTCGGTCGGTTACCGGTACATGATTCATGTAAGACTGGTGCCACCAGAGGCAGAGTATATATCTAATATATACATATATGTATGAGTAAATAAGTATATATATATATATACATATACAGAATATATGTACATCAGTATACATATATAATCATACATCACTCTTCGTACACACAATTATATACACATAGTAATCTATATAAATATATAAACTATGTGTATATATATATATACACAACCTGGGCATTGCAAACTTGAAAACTTCCCGAGTCCTCGCTGGACCTGCTGCCATGAAGCCAGCAGCGCAGCAATGCCGCAGGACAGCTGGTCAGGCACACAGCCGCTGGGAGGGCCTCGCAAAAATGTGGGCGTTAAGCATCAAAAGTAGGTTCAACCATGAAAAATGAGGTTTTACCCTGAAAAACGATGGTTTAACTATGAAAAATCCTGATTTTACCGCAAAAAATGATGGTTCAACCATGAAAAAAACTGGTTTATATAACCATGAAAATGGAGGTTTAACCAATGAAAAACGGTGGTTTGACCAATGAATGATGGGGGGTTCACCCATGAATTTGATTTTTTGGGGGGTCCATGGGAGTTTACCCATCAACTGGGATATCAATGGTGAAATGGGATATCTCCAAATTCTTGGCACCTTATGGGATTTGGGGATTCCTTGGCTGGGAAACCACCATCGCTCCACCACTCTGGTGCCTCAATGCCGGCTACGGGACAGCAGAGGTATCTTTTGGTATCAATGGATTGGTTTAGGGGAATCTTTGCAGGAAACCCTAGTGTTTGCCGCTAATTTGTTTGGGGGGTCCTGATAGTGTCGACCATCCAATTATTGGCGGTGCTTAATTTCGATACAGACCCAGAGCAGTGAGTCAGGAAGACGAAAGTCCCCAAAGCACGGGTTGCAACGTCTAGTACAAAAACATACAAACAATCCATGAATTTGAGCGGGTGCAAAGTACCCAAAAGTGGTACTTTAATGATGTTGCCATAACAAATCTACCTATAAAAACATGTGTATGTGTATATATATATATATACATATATATATATATACATGATATAGTTTATTGTATATACTATAATATATATAATTTAAAAATATAAAAAAATATGCGATAAACCATGCGATAAACCCTGTCCATTTGGGCTTCAGTGCTCCAACTTGATCCAAGGTTCCTGGAGCCACGATTCTTTTCGTCGGAAGAGTTGAGCCTTGGAGCAACGTCTGGGGATGGGCCAAGGATTTTCCCACTGGCGATAAGCATCCCAGCTATACTAGCTATAAATCTATGATAACTCTATGATAAACCCATGATGAACCTATGATGAATCTATGAATCTATGATGAATTTATGGTGAATCTATGATGAATCTACGATGAATATACGATGAATCTATGATGAATCGATGATAATCTATGATAATCTGTGATCATCTATGATAATCTATGATAGCAGCTAGGGTTTTGATCAAGTGTCGGCTGCGATGGCATGCAATCCACTGGACAAATGGTTCCTGTGACTTGCCTCGGAAATTTATGACCCTCCAAAAAAAAAAGGGTACCTTCCCATTATCAACTAGATCACGGCAGTTGGGGACCCCAGTGAATTTGAAGAATCCCCCATTTTCATCCATTTTTTGGTGTCTGCCGGTGCCTTCTTGTGACCATCTTGGGTTGGAACCATATCCCAACCGCTGCACCGGCTGCACTTGGTGTGGCGCAAGCGTTGTGAAGGGCACAGCAGGCACGGCATAAGCCGGAGATGGATAAAGCATCGGAAATTCGAGGTGGACATGGACGGTGTTGAATACCAAAAGCCACATTTGTGGGTTGCTGTGATCTCTGGTCTTTTGTATTGCACTTGTTCTCATCAGCACTGTTGTAATGTGTCTAGTAGACATTAACATTCATATCAGTCATCTATACATACATATATATATACATAATATGATATAGTATCATATAATATCATATAATATCATATAATATCATATAATATCATATAATATCATATAATATCATATAATATCATATAATATCATATAATACCATATAATTGTATTTATATACACTATATATCTCCATATGCTGTAGTCCAGGCTGTGAACATCTTCGTAACTGTATGCTGCGGATTGTACTGCTTGCTGCGCCCGGACAAACGTGACAGGAGCAGGGATGGCTGGAACGTGTGGCTGTGGAAATGGGGACACCCATAAACTGGCCATGAAATAATAGGGAATATGATGGTAAACCATGGTAAACCATGGTAAACCATGGTAAACCAGGGAAGATGATGGTGTTTACCAGTAGACCAATCAATCTTTGGGGATTTCCGATGATTTTCAGAGCCATGTTGCTAGATCCCTCCCATGCCCCAAGCCCCGTGACTCGATCCATGCCCCTTTTCGCAAGCACCGCGGATCACCGCAAATGTCGCCCCTTTTCGCTAATTGCGGCTGTCGGACCTGAGGCAAAACGACCATGAAAAAAGCCCTGATTCAGGGGCTTTTTACGCAAAGTATGGTAATCCCCAAAGAGATGGAAAAGTAATTTACCACAATTATAAAACAATATCTTGATTTTGTTTTTCAGGATTGGATATTTCTTTTCTATCGTTTTAGGGCTTGCGAAAAACATCCAACATCATCCAACCCATCCAGTTTGCCAAGGAGCACTCTGCGAGCATCAGCCAGTTGCGCGGCCCATGTGGGTTGAAGGGGTCCCCGGACGTACTCAGCTCCTTTCGGGACCATCCATAGTATGGAAGACATATGGCAAGATAATGGAACGTGATGGAAGATATCTATGAAAAATCATGAGCAAAACAGGGGAAAAAAAGCAATGGGCTGGGCACTTTTTTCATAGGAAAACATAGGGAAACTATGGGAAGATGATGCTAAACCACTGGATTTGAAAGCAATTTCAGCGACACACCCATTGGTTCTACTGGTGATAGGATTCCCGGTCATCGTCCCCATCAAACCTGGGGCTGAGGCGGCCTGCAATGACGCCCTGGTTCACACCGGAGCCAGTCCCTCCATAGCCAGACTTTACCAGCTTGAAGGGGTTCCTTGGTCAGGTGTCCATGTGAAAAACCCATCACAAGATGTGGCCCAAACGCGTAGCCGAGCGGCGCAGCCGAATTCTCGCGCACTCGCACGGAGGACTCTTGCTTCTTTGCATCCTCGCGTTGCTGAAACGAAAATCCGAGATGTGCTGATGTACGTACCACTGCTTTCCTCACTTCACCCCCACCTAATTCTGCATTCAGTGGCAACAATCAAACCAGCTGGCTCAAGCTACACAGCTACACTCACCTCGGACTCCTTTCCACTTAAATGTGCAATCAGGGGAGCACCTCAGTGCAATCCAGCCACAGCAATTCCAGTGGTCCCCAAATAAATGACACCGGAGAAAAACACTTAGAATAAAAAGTATTTAACATTTTTCCATCAGGTTCCATCATGTTCCATCTATGCACGACTTCGATTAGCCTGTGACATCTGTGACCATACGACCGAGTCGAAGCACTTCTTGGCATTGAAAGACTCGTTGGTGCTGCGGATAAGGTCTTTGGAGTTGGGATCGCCGCATTCCGGTTGAGATCCGGCCCAACGTTCACTTGCGACATGGCGAAGTTTCACCGGTTCCCTGTGGGGTCCCCACCATCAACACCAAATGCTTCAACATGGTTCATGGTTCACCATCTGCCATGGTTGCCGGTCAGCTGTCATGCTGAAACGTTCGCGCTTTTCTCAGATACTCATCCCTCAGGCAGCGGCGCTTGGTCTGCAAATGTTGCGGCATCGTTGTGAAAAAACTGTCACAGAGGTTGGGTCAAAATTCACATATTTTAGACATTCTCAGGATCCTTATCCATTGTAAATTATCCAATTTCAATTTTGAGCCATCTTCTAAACCTTCCCACTTTCTTCATGTTGGGTTCTTTTTCGTAAGGCATTTTTCGAGCGTTTCGCTGCAGGTCGGCCTGCGGCATATCCTTCAGAGGCAGGTCTCCAATGAAGGGTTTCACCTGAAATCTTCCATCGAAACACCACGGGTGGACCTTTACCATCAAACAATGTAAGGGATAGTTGAGTTTTTGTTTAAGCATCTTTTGTAAGGATGCATTCCAGGAACTGAAGACAACTAAGTTGGGTTTTCCTCTATTTGCTTTGCCACATGGGGTCATAAACCCTACAGCCCTATGGCTGGGGCTTCCTGAAATTGGAGATCCCAAGAAGCGAAGCGAAGCGAAGCGAAGCGAACAGGTCATGTGGGATTTTTGTATTCCCCAATTTGGTCCCAATTTGGAGAAACACCCATGACACATTTACTTCTTATTGTGTTTGATTTACAAAGAATTTTGAGGTTCTCAATCCTACATTTATTTCAATGTCTGGCGGATTTGCAAGTCCTCTGGATGATCATCATACCCACGATATGACCGCACAATTGCCACAACTTGGGCAATCCCAAAGTTTCAGACAAACCCAAATCATATTGTCAATATTTGCTGGTTTGGGTTGCACATCTCACCATATCCTATCGTATCCTCATCAAATATCCTCAAATAAAGGTTGGTTTTATACCCTCATAACTTTGTTGGTTACATCAAGTGTTGCGGAGGTAAATCCAGTCAAATATCCGCGTGTTTAGAAGCATCAGTTATCTATATATATATACATAGTTTTGGTTAGTATCTCATAATTGCACCATAAATGATCGAATGTATAATATATATATATATACATGTGTGTATATTCATATAATGATTAATATATCCTTTGTTTGGACGATTTATGTCCCACTTTCATCGCCCATGTCCAATATGCTTGTTGCTTTCTATACGGGACACGGCTTCACACTATATCGGCGCACCTCGTGGTCCAAGACTCTCCGAACACCGTTTGGTTTGCAGGCCTGGAAGGTGGAACTCGGTGATGAGTGAGCATGGTATATGGAAAATCCCCAGTTGTGTATATATATATATACTTATATATGTATGTATGTATATATGTATATATATATATATATGTATATATATATATATATATATGTATATATATATATGTATATATATATATATGTATATGATATGTACATATATATGTAGAGATGTAATGTGTGGGGATGTACCGTCTAACTAAACAATGGTATCCCAGTTGTATACCCCAGACAGCCCTGCCTTCGTCGCCAGCTTAGCCACCAACTGGGTGGGTCCAAGACCAACACTGCACGTGCATCCTCGATTGGGCAAAATTCGTAGAGGTAACTTGTGTAAACCTTAAATCTCTAGAAACCCATAGGGAAAATGGTGACTTAACTAAGAAACATGGGGATATGCAATGCGATTTATGGCTGATTTATGATACCTAAGTTGGTGAACACTCCAATAACTATGGTTTATGATGCTCATAACTACAGTTAATGGTGTTTATAAACTACCAACTTATAACTGGGGGGCCCACATTGTAGGGTTTATGGATCTTCATCGAAGACACATCTATAGTTCCTTCATGGGGTTACCCTCTGGTAATCAAACATTGCAATGGAAGATCCTCTACATCTACAAATGAAAGTTTAATAGGAAAATAATATCCATATTATATATATATATATATAAATGGAGGATTTTCTAGCAAGCCGTGTTTGATTACCGGAGAGTATGATCAACTGCGGTGTCAGTGCTGCCGTGTCCTGTCTGCTCGAACACGGCCTTCCGCAAGACTTCTGCCCAAGCAACTGGCTCCTGACTGCATACCATGAATCGGGGATGTGTGAACCAAACAACTGAGGTCCATATGGTATGGATCTATTGTATGGATCCTATGATAAGATGAACCAATAAGATTCAGATCCCTATGATCAATAAGGCAGTTCAATAAAAGGTTTCGATAAATGGATCCATTTGGGTCTGCAACAAATCTCTGAGATTGTCGCAGTAAAGCCAGTCACTCTGATCGCCTTGGTCAAAACGGCGGGTCCAAATGGTGCACCTAATCAAAGTATTGAACAAATTGGAGGTTTACTACCTTACTCACTACTCGAAACAGACCCCAAAAATACCAAAACAAAAAATGGATTAAGTAGTCAGTTGTAGTCAGTGATACAAGATCTATCTCAAAAACAAAATTCGACGCATCTGTCTTCGGATACCCCACATGAACCTCTTGGGCCCCAGACTGACTCGTCGCAGGAACGCATCAGCACATTGTCCGGGACGTCGTTGCAGGCAGTTACCTGGGCATTTTTCAAATTCGTGGATCCAAGGACCTGTCATGGATTCATCAATCAAAATACCATTTAAAAGTACATTATACATATACATATATACATATATATATATATTATATATATATATCCTACATATATAAATGTAAATATACTATATATATATATATATATATGCAACCCCCCCCACTGATAACGAGAAATCACTGCATTTTTGAGCACACACTTGATTGTAAAGTTACACCACATACAGATGCTAGACCAGATGTGTGAACATGTCTTTGCGAGGCTAAGAGGCTAGAAGATGTGATGACAGTAGGATGTGACAGCCAAGAGCACTGGTCCCTTTCTAACATTGTGGCAAAGGAGGTTTGCTGGAAGAAGTGTGTGGCAGCATCAATGGAAGAACAGTGTGGCAGCAGAAGATAGATGACTTTCTAACTTTTTGGCAAAGCAGACAGCACAGTGTAGAAAACACGTCAGTCGTCACAAGCAGCGGAAGGGGTTTGTTTTCAGCGCTGGGCCGCCCGGTGATCTATGGCTTTGCCAGGTATGCAGACATGGCACCCTGAACCAATTCTGCGGTCTAGACCAGATGTGTGAACATGTCCTTGCGAGGCTAAGAGGCTAGAAGATGTGATAACAGTAGGATGCGACAGCCAAGAGCATTGATCCCTTTCTAACATTGTGGCAAAGGAGGTTTGCTGGAAGAAGTGTGTGTGGCAGCATCAATGGAAGAACAGTGTGGCAGCAGAAGATAGATGACTTTCTAACTTTTTGGCAAAGCAGACAGCACAGTGTAGAAAACAAGTCAGTCGTCACAAGCAGCGGAAGGGGTTTGTTTTCAGCGCTGGGCCGCCCGGTGATCTATGGCTTTGCCAGGTATGCAGACATGGCACCCTGAACCAATTCTGCGGTCTAGACCAGATGTGTGAACATGTCCTTGCGAGGCTAAGAGGCTAGAAGATGTGGTGACAGTAGGATGTGACAGCCAAGAGCATTGATCCCTTTCTAACATTGTGGCAAAGGAGGTTTGCTGGAAGAAGTGTGTGTGTGGCAGCATCAATGGAAGAACAGTGTGGCAGCAGAAGATAGATGACTTTCTAACTTTTTGGCGAAGCAGACAGCACAGTGTAGAAAACACGTCAGTCGTCACAAGCAGCGGGAGGGGTTTGTTTTCAGCGCTGGGCCGCGCGGTGATCTATGGCTTTGCCAGGTATGCAGACATGCCATCTTTGGGATCCAAGATCTAAGATCTATGTTTTTTTCACTTCGACATGCTCAACTTCCCACGGGTGTTGTCCAAGTAGCCTTGCGATGAGACCGGTAGATGTAGCCCAGTGCAGCGTCGAAGTGTTCCTGAGTATATTGCCGACAGAAAGGCTCCAGCACATAGATTGCAAGGAAGTGTCGGAGATTGAGTGCAGGTGATTGCAATCGATTGCAATCGCTTGCAATCACTTATCTATTTGGGATCCAAGATCCAAGATCCAAGATGCCATGGGGGTCTTGGATCTGAAATCTTGGATCCATCACTTATTTCTGTGAGATCCAGGGATCCAAGATCCAAGATCCAAGATGCCATGGGGGTCTTGGATCTGAAATCTTGGATCCATCTTGGATCCATGGATCCAAGATTTCAAATCCTTTCACTGCTCACATGTGCTGCCTTGCCCGAAGAGCTGCCAAGCGGGCCATCTAACGACAAGATGCCAACAGTTTGTTACACTGAAACCGTGTTACAGTTCGGTGTGCGAAGTTGCATCGAAAAGCAGTGCGCGCACGGAAACGCTCTGTTTTCCCCCATGATGATTGGCTAAAACGGGCGTTGGGAACGCGACACCTGGGCAAGCCCTACTAAAGCCATACCAAAAAGTCCCAAACAGCAGTTCTGACCGTGGGTCGGTCGTTTGGCAATTTGCGACGAACTTGGTTGATCATTGATCACACCTCTCCCAAATCCAAGCCTCTTGGTCCATCAATTCTTCCAAGGCCTCTTCCAGTGTGACGGTTTTTGTCCTTCGTCTCGATTGCTTTCCCTTTTTGTTGTTGCATCCACTGGAACGCTTCGTCGAAAGATCTCTCAAGTTCCTCCTTTGAATGATTTTTGGCCTGGCTCTGAACTCTGAATTGCAAATTGCCACTGGGTGCTTGCACTTGGGCTCTCCACAACTGTTCTGCCTTGCTCCACGTAACCCCTTTGCAAGGCTTCATCGGAACATAAATGGGAAGCTGGTCAAAAGCGCACGCTGCCTTTGCACCCCGTTCCCCATGCGCGATTGCCAGCTCTCGGGCTTTCGCCTCAGCTTTCTCCCGGTCATCAAAACACCCTCCACTAAACCTTTTTCGCTCTCCATCAACCGTCCTGCTGATCTGCACCGCCCACTTTCGTTTGTTTGTGGGCCAGCTCACGCCTGGAACGGTGCTTTTCGGTCCAGTTGCATCTTTCGGTTCTGTCTTCAGTTTGGCCTTCAGCTTAGATCTGGTCGCGATAGTTTCTTGCATCTTTGAGCGCTTGCGTTTTTGCCTCCTCTTCAGTTCCACCTTCTTGCCGGTAGCTCGCGAGAGAAAAAGAACGATGCGTGCCTTTTCCAATTTTCACCTGCCAAGACCAATGCCTAGAATGCCAGTAAATCCCCTTATCAACCGGACTGTTTTTGGATGCCACGGGGATTTCAACTCGGCCCAATGGAGTGGCCACTTCCATCTTCGACGGTGCAGCCATCAGAAAAGCGATGAATTAATCCTAGACCCTGGTAAATTGAATACAAGCATGGTCACACCTCCTAGACCCCCAGGAAATCTTGCATCTTGGATTTTGGATCCTTGGATCCTTGGATCTTGGATCCAAGATGGATCCAAGATTTCAGATCCAAGACCCCCATGGCATCTTGGATCTTGGATCTTGGATCCATGAATTTCACTGAAATAAATTTGCAATCGATTGCAATCACTTACATAACAGAAGCCTAAATTATCGTTATTAAAGGGGAGGTACCATATATATGTATACATACAATACATATATGCTATATATATATACAATACATGTATACTATATATATACACTATATATATACTACATATATACTATTTATATATACTATATATATACTATATATATACTATATATATACTATATATATACTATATATATACTATATATATACTATATATATACTATATATATACTATATATATACTATATGTATACTATATGTATACTATATATATAGTATATATATACTATATGTATACTATATATATAGTGTATATATATACTATATATATATACTATATATATACTATATATATACACACTATATATATATACTATATATATACTATATATATACTATATATACTATATATATACTATATATATACTAGATATATACTATATATACTCTATATATATACTATATATATACTATATATATATACTATATATATACTATATATACTATACATATATACTATATATATATACTATACATAAATACTTTGCATATCTACTACATATATACTATACATATATATGCTATATCTATACTATATGTGTACTATGTGTGTGTGTGGTGTGTGTGAGTATTTGTATATATATATATATTATGTATATATATATATATTATGTATATGTTGCATATATGTATAGTATGTATATATTATATAGGTATAGTATATATATAGTATATATATAGTGTATATGTATATAGAATGTATATATATATATACAAATAATATATATATATACATTGACTATATATACTATACATATATACTATATATATACTATATATGTATAATATACCATTTATATATTTATACTTTATACATGTACTATATTATATATATACACTATATATTTACTATATATATATATATACACTATATATATACTATACATATGTGCTATATATATACTATACATGTATATACTACATATATGTATATACTATACATATACTGTATATAGTATATGTATACTAAATATATACTATATATATATACTATATATATACTATATATATACTATATATATATATACTATATATATAATATATATATACTATATATATAGTATATCTATACTATATCTATACTATATCTATACTATATCTATACTATACATATATATGTATACATTTCATTTCTTTTGAGGTAGTATTTAAGGATGTATCATACCGTCCATAGAATAGACTGTGTATATATCTATACTTCGATATGTATGTAATTACATCTACAGTATACACAGAGAGAACATGTCTACACATCAGCCAGACAGCAACACATGGAAGCTGCGAACCAAGTCCGGCTGAGTCCGGTGCAAGAAGCTGGTACACCTCCAGTCCCAAACTCGGAAAGGAAACATTGGAATTGTTGGGAAAAATGTACATTAAACAAGTAATAATTTGCAAATTGTTGGTAATAATTTGCAAATTGTTTGGGAAAATGTCAGTAAAAAAAAAATCATCTAAACTCCAGTGGTTTCTCGTTACCCACACTACAAAAACTGGCCATTTGAATCTGGGGGTATACCCCAACTCTAAACAAACCAAATCACAACAAAGGCCGGTAATGCAAGCAGAAGTGGTCGAAGAGCCGGCCTGTTTCCAAGTGTCTTCCACCTCAATTGCGAGCAGGGAGCGCCCTGGGATGGGTTATCGCCATGGCAAAATCCCATCAAAATCCCATGTGTTTGCCTATGTTTTGCCGGCTATGAATCCGCATTTTTCTCATCATTGGTGGTATTAAATCCCCGTGTTTACATAATATGTGTATATGTTTCAGGAATCAAATTCGGGTTAAATCCGCATTTTCCATCATTTTCCCAAGTTTGGGGGATTAAACCCTGATTTACTCATCTTAGTGGGATCAAATCTACCTTTATCCTCCCTTTCCACTCCATTAGTATCAGATCATTGGACCTGGGTTCCCCCACTGAGCGAAGCAGCTCGCTGGTGATGGGGAAAAGGCGCAGCCTCATCGAGGAAGATGGCGACTTTACATGAAACCAACAGACAATGTGTTCGTTGGAGGGAAAATGTGTTGGAAACCTTGGGTTTTTTGCAGCAAATGGCTTAAAGATGTTCAAGCGTAGATCTTTCCATTAAACCAATAGAACAGGCAACATGCCAGATGGCTTTCAAAACGTCAAAAGGATTCACAAGGAATCCTTCGCCGTCCTTCGCCACATCCTAAGTGGCTCAGTTCTCAACGTAGGCAACATGGTCATGGCACGTTCCACAAACCAAAGATGAGTGTTCACCTGAGCAGCGTTCAACACCCGGTTGGTTGAGAAGGGGATTCCCAGTTCATGGATGATAATCCCCTATGGATAATGCTCAGTTCGTCAGCACAAGGTCATCTCTTTTGTTTGGGTTTTTTTCTAAACAAATAGTCTTCCGCCTTTACGCTATTCCGTTTGTGGGCAAACCACGAGGTCTGCGCGCGCGTGTGTGAATATATATATATGTGCATAAATACAGTCATCATGAGTAGATAGAATATGGAATGTTGAAAGAAAAAACATTTGAGTTGTGATTTTTTGAAATCTCCGTATTACTAGTATCTCTACTCCAGGATGACTATACATGTGTGTATATATTATAACATATTGTCAAAGGAAGTTTAGTTAGGAAACTTCCAAATTACGAACGATTGTCATGGCTAGCTGCTAGCTTTCTCACCATGATGGTCACCTCAATCATCAATTGTCATGGCAAGTAGTTGGGAAGTGTGAGAGATCGGGAACCCGTGAATTCAGGCTTGGAAACACTCTCGGGCGTGAAACCCGGTATTTTTTATGTATTTTTCGGGTAAAGTGGCTGTCGTGGTTGCCGAAGGAGGGTCTCTGTTTCTGCGGTTTCGCGGTCCGATCGGGGAAACTGGTCGACAAAAAGTGCACAGGACTGTAGCGAGAGATCGATTTACACTTGAAAATCGTAAAAAACTTCATTCATTCGTTCGTGCGTTCGTTCGTTCATTCATTCATCCATTCATTCCATTCATTCCATTCATTCCATTCATTCCATTCATTCCATTCATTCCATTCATTCCATTCATTCCATTCATTCCATTCATTCCATTCATTCCATTCATTCCATTCATTCCATTCGTTCCATTCGTTCCATCCATTCATTCATTCCATTCATTCATTCATTCATTCATTCTTTCATTCTTTTTACATTCCATTTCATTTCATGTCATTTCATTTCATTCAATTCATTCCTTTCAATTCCTTCGTTTCAATTCCTTCGTTTCAATTCCTTCGTTTCAATTCCTGCGTTTCAATTCATTCATTTCAATTCATTCATTCATTTCAATTCCTTCGCTTCAATTCCTTCATTTCAATTCATTCATTTCAATTCATTCATTTCATGCATGTCATTTCATTTCAATTCACTTCTTTCCAATTCACCAAGAATTCCTATAAGCAAACTGGTTCCTATAGCCATGTCCTATTTTCGAAACTTCCGCCCCGGCTTTGCCGGGCACTACGGTACATATCTATGTAATTATTGGGTAGAATAATTAACCCCCCGAACGAATCTTCAACAAACAGGGGTCTTGAACAGCTGGAATGTTTCGTCCACAGGTTTTCCAACCTGCTGGTCCAGTGGAAAATGAACGGCCTGGAAGATAAGATTCCAACCTGGAATCCTCAATTCCATAGCCCCATCATCACATGATGTTTCCGGTGAACAATGAGGGAAATCCCCACTGCCATTGTTGACCAATCGAGTCTTTGGTGCGCGAAAGATCTATGCTGGGGGCTCTACGCCAGCTCGTCTTGCAGCATAATTCCTGAGATGGAAACAAACAAAAACTTCAGAAAATAGTAGCCGCTCACAACTTGAAGTCCGTGAGTTTATCCAGCGAAACTTGGCTTGATTTTTTCCCTGTTGTTGAAATTCCAGCCTGAAATCAGGCTGATGGTGCAAATTTTGGTTTCTTCACGTCTCTATCATTTCGGGGTTATGTCCTCAATTTAGGAAGGTCATTTCGCCAGTTTTCGCCTCGAAATTTCCAGATCATCTCCCAAAAGGATGGGTATGGCTCAAACGATATGAGCTCAAAAATCGCATCCATCAATTCAATACCCATACATGTCCCAATATTGGTTCACCAAGTAGTGAAAAATGACCACACAAACATCCACAAATCATCACAAATCACCCAAATTCGAACATTCACCCAAATTTGCACCGTTCAAAAAACGGTGAAATCTTGAAAAAAACGTAGCTCCACAACGCCCCGAACAGCCCCACGGTTGCCCAGCGTCGCAGAGCAGATCTCGGAGCTGGGGCCGAGGCCAGAGACCACGGCCGCAGGCACCTGGCTGTGTATATGGTATATACCTACGGTACTATGGTGTAAAATATCTATATGTGTATATGGTATAGTGATTCTTATATATCTATGATAGATATAATATATATATATATGTCATTGTTATATCTATATATGATAAATAGTATCTCACTGTTATTGTTGTATATCTATGGTATACTTATAGTGATCGTCAACCACTAGCTAATTAATGTTAATTTTGTGGGTCAGAGTTTGGCGCGCGCAAGTGACCTGATTAGGGAATACACTTTGAGAGGCCAATGCGCTTCTCGATATAAACGTCAGGAAAGCACTGTGACAATCCTGCGCAATCCTCTGAAATGGAAGGCATCCAGCTAATAAGTGTTATAGATTTAGCTAAATTTTGCCAATAATTTTAGTTTTACGTACAGTAGCTAGTAGATGCCAATAGTGATAGTCATGATACAATATCTAATAGTTATGATTTATGATCGACAATAGAGTTATTAGCACTACAACTGGTATGTGATATTTATTGTGATATATATAATTGATTTATTGTTGGTTAGCTAATGAATATGTGTTACCCTCTTGTAATTTGACAATTAGCTATGGAAAATCACCGTGATTAACAGGGAAAACATCAAACTAAATGCGCCGTTTTCAAAAGCTATATTAAATTGGTGGAGGCTATTAGCAAAAATCGGGCTGATGAAAGAAACAACAAAAATATTTTTCTTGCATTGTTTTGCTATATTGATCTATATTGTTATGTGCTGTTTCATCTATAGTCTATAATCTATATAGTTCTAGTTGTATCATGTTCTACCCCAGTTCTTGACAAAATGCTGGAATGTTTGGATGCACCAAACCAATGATCTAATGATCAAATGAACAAGTCGCATCCCCAAGTGTGGATCACATTCAAAGCTCCATTCCAGAACATCGACCCGGGAGTATCAAAACTATCATGTGGATTTCATTTTTCTGATATGTTCATACATTTTCATACATTTTCTGGATACTGCGAAACACCTCAGGCTGTCTTTGGTCCTCAAAAATCGCAGCCACATCTCAGGTCGTGGAAGTTGACTCACCTCACAGCCAGGCCTCATCTGAGATGGAGCTATCTCCAGCTTTAGCAGCCTCGCTGGTCCAGGAGTGGGATATCATCATCCCAGGTGGCCATGTCCTGAGGTCCCCAAACATCTCGAGTAGCCACGGATACAAAGAAACAGTCCATGTCCTTGGCTGAGCTTGGTCATGTTGGTTCTTTCAGAATCCATCATCTTTGGGTTGTGCATCTCAAGTCTCTGCTCCCTTTTTCAAGTCCAATGATGTATAATGATGTATTATTATGTATTATTGATGTCTACTATATACTGTACTAAAGCGGTCTACCCATGTCTACCCCCTATACCCTTCAGTACTCAAACATGAGATGGGAAATCCAAAAAAAAACTCGCCATGGAGGTTGACTTCACATCAGCCAAAAGGCCAGATGAGCCCACAGTGCAGGAGCATCCTCCGTCCACAATGGAGCCAACTCCTCAGGACAGCGAAGCCACCATCACCAGCTGGGATCGTCACACAAAAAACATAAATATTCGCCGAAATAGATATCGAATCATCAGATATGGTTAACAAAAATGTTGAAAAAAGAAAACACCAAGAAATCTTCATAAATCTTAATAAATCTATGTATTTTACCGCTTCGAAACAACTGAAACCGCCAACCTTCGACGATTTTTCCGTCGTGGAAAGTTTCTTTTTCCGCACCTTCCGCAGCTGTTCCGTGTGTTCTGGCGGCATCTGACCTGAAGCCGATAGGGGGGGACTCGTCCCAAAACTTACCAGTTCACTGGGGTATTTCACGGTTATACCTGGCTTGGTGCAGAAGATTTACCCTTCGTCGAAACGAAACTTGAAACATGTTCGAAACCATGGTCTTTACATGGTTTTTACCATGGGTTTTTACATGGTTTTTGTCATCGACGGATGTCCTGCAATTTGTGTCCAAAAAGTGTCATGAAGGGATGGGCAGCACCCGGTACATGGGATGGGATCCACCTGCTCCACCACGCCAGCACTCGAAACGTTCACGCCAGGTGCCAAGAAAGTGCAGTCCTAAAAAAAGGCGTCCCGGCCAAGGTGGATGGTTTGGGAAAATCTACAGTTGAAATGAGATCCTGAGATCATGGTTTTACCATGTTTTACCATGGTTTACCTATATGTTTACCTGTCATAAATGTTGGGGAGGTGACCTGTAATATGTGAGCATTTCTGGAGGCTTATGCTTCATCAACAGCCCAGTGGACCATGATACCATGGTGGTGGGGGGATCATCCAGGAATCATCGAACATTTCGGCAGATCTTATGGATTTTCCGTGGAAATGGATGGTTTCCCCATGGATTTCCCCATGGATTTGCTGCTGGGACCGTTTTTTTTTGAGACCCAAACGACTGGCCCTGTGGAACTCTGCCACCTTCGCAGCCGGCAGTTCCTCCCGCAGCGATCTTTGGAGGTGGTGCAACCATGGGCGATCTTTGTGGGGATCTCTGGTAATAACTGGCATAACTATTGGAAATGGCCATTTATAGTGAGTTTTCCCATTGAAAATGGTGATTTTCCATAGTTATGTTAGTTTATCAGAGGGTATCAACCAACAATGGGGATAGAAACCGCAAACCTGGTGACAACCTGGTGACAAAGATATTGGGATATCAATTCAGAAGTGATGAGTTTTCCCCAATTTAGACGGCACAGTTGGGAAAATCCTGCTCATTGGGAAAATAGCTATCCCTATACCTAATATGATGGCTCATCATAATCCCTCATAAACCCGGAAGCATAGCACCTGAAATTCATCCATCAACAGGGGGTATGTGGCTGACATCATCCCCAGGCCAGTCCTTGGAGTTCGGTTTTTCGAAGGATTCACCTTCGACATCAGACGCCCCTGGCATCAGGATCATTAGATCATTAGATCGTCATTTCCAGCTGCACACTCCAAGATTGCTATTAAATAAAAAAAACACACAGTTGTTAGGTACCGTAAAGCATCGAACCAACACGTTCATCCATTTTGCATAGCGATGTGAAACTACCAGAGGCCGGTTTCCCCTTCGAATAAAACTGCACCTTCACTTTCCATGTCGACTTGTGTTAAGAGCACATCATCCTGCGGCTATAGCCGGAAGGCTGCAGATACTGCGGAGAAAATATGAGTTGCAGTGTTCATTCTCAGTCCTGAGTGGGATGTTCTTGATGTTGTCCGGCATCGGGCTTTGCTCTTTGAGAGAAGAATGACGTAATGCAAGACCTTGGCTGCAGATCCAAAAACTTCACTGGCAGAAATTAGACAAATGAATAAGGGGTTCAGCGGTATCGGTCATTTTGACCATTTCAAAGAAAGCCAACCGGGAAAACCGCAGACTCTTAATGACCATGTCAGTAGTCACTCAATCTCAAGAATGGTGCTTACTATAAATATATGTATATATATATACATATATTATATATATACATATATTATATATACACACCTGGAAAATGACTTAGGACTTAAGCCCCAGGCCCCTTCTCAACCTGCGCAGTCATGGCAGAATCAAAGAGTTTGTTGAAATACAATATATATATATATACAGACCAAGCCGGGTTTCACAACCAATTTCTGGCTAAATTTGAGGTTTTTGAGTGTGGTTCCAACATTAGTAATTTCCATCCCAAACCGATTGCTCGTTTTCATTGAAGGATTCGTCATCCCAATGTATGCATTGTCTTGTGTGGCAAAAAAAAAACATTCGAAACCACAAAGCACAGGCATCCAGCACACAGAAGATCGTTTTGTCCATAGGGTACATTAAAATCCCATGATTTATCATCATTTTCCCATATGTCTCCTCTTAAAATTGCAATGTATGGGTGTATATAACCCCCATGTTCAAACCCAAATGTTCCCTGGATCCTCGAATCCACATCATCTGCTCGCCTTCCGAAAATCAGAGGCTCCCAATGCGAGTCTGGAGCATGGAAAGGGCGAGCTTACCTGTCCACTGTCTGTCGGAAAAATGGGATGCCGCATATGAAAAATACCCTAGATCCCTTGATTGATTAATCGCCATTATCTATATATAATGCATATATGTATATACATATGTATATGTATATATATATATGTAGATATATATATATATACGTATACATATATATATATACAGATACATATATATATATACATAGATATATATATATACATATATATATACACATATGTATATACATATATATATATATACATACATTTACATATGTGTACTATACATATCTATACATATACTATTATAGACATAAATATATATATATGTTATATATATATATATGTTATATATATATGTTATATATATATGTTATATATATATATACGTATATTATGTACTGTATTTCTATTATCAAAATTGCCATTTGGGTGATATGTATATAATATATATATATATACATACACACCCCATTTTTAGACACACCCATTTGAATAGGAAAACGATACCAGTGTAAATGTCTTCTTGGCTCTGAAACTCAAACGAGAGTACTGAGGCAAGCCGCACGCTCCAGAAGCATCTTTTTAGCCTCACGTCAAACACTATGGGGGGGATGGTGAACCATCATTGAATCCGGGGGTGTGAACCGAGCTTGAATCCAATCTCCCCATGGATCGCTTCAGATATCTTCAGATGCATCTTGGAGTGTACTGCTACTTGCTGCATTCATCGGCATTGTATCTCAAGTTTCCTTTCCAAGTGCATCCAATGCACGGCTTCTGCTACAATGTTTGCAGCCGCTGGGCCAATCTCGCCTGTGGCAATGGAACATTCCACATCTTGCTGGCACTGACTGTTTCAAAGACTTTCAGTTGGATAGAGATGCCAAATTGGAGGATTCAGCAAAGGAGACACAGGTTTGCACTGTTCAAAATCTCATCACAAATTTGACAAATCTTGCTGATTTCAAGCATTAAATTGTCTCTATTTTGGCAAACCAAGTTTGATACTCAGGCGAGAAGGGTAGCACGGCCTTTGCTCTGCAAATCTGGGAAAGCCATTGAGCGGCTAATGGTCTTTGTCAACTCCTTACAAAGGCGGACTGTGAATTCCGGCTGGTTCGACCCATCCAAAAAATTCCTTAGTCAAAGTGGACTTGTCATCGGGCTGAAATACAATCAGATGCTTGAAACATGTTGAATCACCAGATTCGAAGCAAAACTTCGTGTCTTGAAGCCTTCAATGCCTTCAATCTTAGTCTCAGACAGAAGTACGACCTGCCATCCAGTTGCGTCCGTGATCCTGCACTCAGAACATCAAAGTGTTCGCCAAATAAAAAATGCTCCGGATGCACATGTGGCTTTTGTTTAGAAATAGGATGAGATAGGGTCTATCATGGGCTATCCCAATCTATTGTCATGGTCATGAGCAAATGATGTTTTGGTGCACTGGGAAATTCCAAAAATGTTCATGCACAGCATGCATCACGCGCAAAGCACCCCACAGGTCCGAGTCGAGACGGCCGCGGTGGTATAAGACCAGACTGCGCGGTTGGCGTGTCGGATCCTGCAATTGTAGCCGAAGAGTGGGGAACAGTTGCCGATGTTTGCTCACTTCAGAACTTTTAACACCATTTTCACCATTTTCTTCAAAAGATCCCCTACCTTCCAGCTTCCTCACCATTCCTCACCTACAAAAAAATAGCCATCAAATTTCAGGGTTTGTTCTTTGGATTGGAAGGTATCCCACCCTGCTCCAACCGAGGTTGCTTCGAAGATCTCCTCCCGAAGACGTCCAACCAGTTCTGTAGCCAGGCTTGTAAGCCAGGGCTCCAAGTCCGAAATACCTCCAAGTCCGATATTGGTACTGTACAGGTACCATTTATCAGGGGCTGTTTGTCCAAAAATGATGGATACCCCCAAATCATCCTAAATCCATGCCATCTTTAAGGGAAGCCTCATGGTAACCCACAGGATTTAAGGCATTCTTCTGACAGTCACCTCTTGTTCAAATACTTACCCGCGCGGTGCAGACTGGGAAGATCAATGGAGATTGATATTATCCAAAATGTAGCTGTTATTAATATACCCTCTGGTAAACTAACATAACTATGGAAAATTACCATTTTAATGGGTACAGTAAATCAACTATCAGTGGCCATTTTCAATAGCTATGTTAAATTACCAGAGGGTAAAATATGGGACTTATCGGAGATATGATAAGCATATTGGAAATCTTCTAACGGTTAGATAACGGTTAGATGGGGATATGTGTTCGCCAGACAGGGCCGAAAATCAGGGATATGTTCCTTATTTTGCAATTTTCACAGAGGAAGAGGCTTTGCAAATCACTTCGATACCTGGATGCCAGCTAAACATATACAGGGTCCAGTGGATATGTTGGCTATGTCAAAAATCCATCAAGAGGCTGTTCCGTCCGCAACAATTAATGGGGATACGATATGGGCCAGAACCAAGAGGATGTTCGATAAACACGTCTGACCAATATTTTGGCATACCAAACAATGGGGGAACAGGATCACACATCCCATGGACATGGCCAAACTTAGATATGATACCCATTGATACCCTACCAAAAAAAAAGTATATATATATGTATATGTAGTTGGTTAATTAGTAAACATGTTCAGTTATCCCAAAAGGATCAAACATCATCAAACAATGCTACTAACCAAAACGATCCATCCAACATTTCCCCAGTTGTCCCCAGAATTTCAATTCCGTCTGGACTTCAAATCGTTAAGTCCTCTGGTGACAATGCTGATCTTTGTCCACATTGTCGCTCCCTATGTACAGGATCCAACCGGTAATCTAACATGGCTGGCTCGAAAATTCATGAACCATGCTTCCAGTAGTGTTTCCATCCTCCAGATTTCCACTGCCAGGTATGGATTACCAGTAGTTCAGCAAAACTATGAGCTGCTACAGATCTTCTCAGCACCAAGGATGACCAAACAAGTCATCCAGTCAACCGTTGGTAGGGACTGGAAATTCCCTCATCATGTGGACTTCCACCTTCCAGCACGCGAGGACTTTCACCCTTGGTCGACTTGATCAAGAAGTGAAGAGCTTGTTTGTCACAACATGTCACAACAAATGGGCTGCAACCCAGAAAAATAAGGCCAAATAAGGCTCTGGACTTATTTGGATGTTTGAAAGTGTTGCTTTTGGTGCTGGGCAAAACAGTGACATGGGCTCTCTCCAGTTCTCTGAGCTTTCCGCAGCCAGGGTTGAAAAAGTATTTTGTCGATTCCTGATGGACATGTTGGAGATCCAAAGAAAAGAACCATATTAGTGACATGGTCCAATGGTCAAAACAACTCATATGGTCATCCATTGGCCTATGTTTAAACTCCTAGTCTCAGCTCTGAACAAAACACTCACATCATGGTTTTCCCCTGGCCTCAGCAAGTGTGCCGCTTCCTGCTGGATCCTGGAGCCAGGATCTTTATGGATCATTCCTGGTGGAATGGAGGACTATAATATATACCCAATATATGTATATATACAAATCACAAACAGACAGTACAAACAATAAGAGAGTTTTGCTTGGGTAAACTTATAATGTTCAACATTGAGTTCTATTAAGCCACTATTAGTTTTAAAAAAAAAACTCAACATTGTGTGCTATTCATGCACTACTAGCGTTGCATGAAAACGCTATTAATGGCTTATTAGCTTAAATATGTTTTTGCTATTATTCACTGATTAGCGAGGGCTACATTCGGCAATCTAAACTGCCCCTATTAAGCACAGATTAGTGGTCGGGGTAACAACGGATAAGACAACGCAAATTAAGGGTTACATTGGTTCAAATAACAGGGGGTAGCTCACAGGGGGGTAGCATAAAGTTTCATGATATGTATATAATTGACTATACTTTACATATCAGATTTTGGGATAATACTGATAAATCTATGTGCATCGATTTTGTACATGATATGTTCTCTATTCTTATCTGACTAAGCCATTTAACCAACCATGACCAAGAGTGCATTTTACAGTACATCATCCCAAATAGAGGTATACCATGGTATAGCCCATTTCATAAACCTCTACAAGGCATGCTTCATTCTTGGGTTTACCGCATTAGATCTAATTTCATGAAGCTCTGGAAAATCACCATGCTTAATAGGTATATCTACAAATTGGTAAGTTTTCCATAGCTGAGTGAAATTGCCAGAGAGCATATGTATATATATATATATGCACATATATATTGTATATATATATACATATATATATATATACAGCAAAGCAACCTCTAAAAGATAGAAAAGTAATTTATCACAGGGATCTGGTAGGATTTTACTTTTCATGCCTTTTCTAGGAGGTTAGTATTATCTTAAGGAAAAAAAAAAAGAAAAAAAAAAACACGCTCGCGAACTCAGAGAAAACTTTCGCGCGGTCTCATGTTGCAACACTGGCGGACTTTGTAATAAACAATCCCTACATGGACTTTTAGATGTAGTATCACATATTCACTGTCATGTCCGTCGAATGATCTTTCGAACAAATCCCTCTCTGATAGTAGTTGAGTTGCAGTTCACCAATGCATTCCATCTTTTTTTTGAGTTGTTCGAACGTCAGGGAGCTTTTGGTTCAACATGTTCAATCCGAGTCCTTGGTTAGGCTAAGTTCCCAAATATATCTGTGTATATATATATATATACGTGGTTGGAAGAGAAACTGCATGAAATTCAAGCACTACATCTAAATCTTTATGTGGTTCGATCACATTCACATAATCGAATGCCGATACTATGCATCTATACATGTTTTTCATAATTCAACCACCTATACATATATCCAAGATTATCCAAGTACTGTTGGTCGTATCTCCCATGACTTCACTCCATCATCACCCGGCAAAAAAATCACTTGCACCAACATTTGACAATGTTCTTCAGGGGTGGAATCAACGCGTTGTCAACCATCAAGGTGCACAAATATAGAGGGACTTGGGGACAGGTGACGGTTTATTGCATGACATGGGGGCCAGGTTTAGGGTTTAGGGGAATTTGAGCATGGGGACAGGACAGTCCGGGGCAAGGAGACAACCGTTTTTGGGGCAAGGGATATGCAATCAACATCAATCAACACAAAAAAAAACAACCATCAACTTCAGTCCTCAGCTTCCTGAAAAGTCGTACCGCTAAGGTGCCACTGCCAAAGATATAGATGATGACGATGGCCCAAAAGTATAGATATCCTGGAGATGGAAGACAACCCCCCCAAAATGGCAAGGCAAACTTAACCGGACAACGGCTTGGATATGGGGCTTTACCCAAGAAAAGTTGCGAGATTTGGGTATATTCACCACAGAAATGCATAAACATATGGGTGTCAACCAACAATTATCAGCTTTTTCTCGTGTTTGATACAGTATCTACCCAGATTTACCCATTTCTACAAAATCCTACTGCAGGCACTTACCCAATTACAGCCAGCGATTAAAATTGCAAAGATAACATGCAGAGGCATAGGTCAAAAGCCTGGTTGTGAATCTTCAATTTTACCAATGTGTCCTCCCATGCAGTGTAAAGGCTTCGGCATTCCACCGCAAAGCTGCGGCTTTTGGGGGTGGGAGACCAGTGGGAGACCCAGATGTTTTCAGGAAAAAGATGAATAAAGATGGTACCAATTATGGTGGGTCAACTAAAGCAAAAAGTATCAGCATGGTTTGGGCCGGGTGGAATAAGAAACATGCTGGTCAAAAGTTAAGGTATGGTAAGGTAAGGTTGTCAGCTCACCTGAATCCGACTTAACGCAGAAAATAGGGAAGAAATAGGGATTTGAAGCACCAACAATTTGTCATGGTTTTCACTAACCACCAAGAATTGGTAAACAGGAAGAGATTGACCCAAAAAATTAGCCCATTTTGGTAATGGTCAAGATGTGGATTGAGAGACCCTTTATGTTTTTAAAAATCGTCTGATGGCGTTTTTTCTTTTTCGATCAGCGTTTCGTTGGATCGCCACCAGACGGAACTGTTGAAACGCCGTTTTTTTCAGCTCGGCGTCCATACTCCAATTTGAGCTCAGGGATGGTTGGATCACCATCAATGGCAAAGTTCATGCCATAGACACCTGACCGGTTGGGATGTGAAAATGGACAGCTATTTCTGGCTTGAACTTAAACATGCTATAAATTGATTATGTGTTTTGTAATATGCTTGTACATGTTTGTACAAGATCTCTACATCTATATCAATGTATTGCACATATAGTTGTTACATATCTATATGCTTGATACATTTTACATATCTACATAATGTCTACATAACGTATGTTTTGTTTGTTGTACAGTAGATCAAAAAATGGGGAAGCACTGTCCACTGATCTGAGGTCTCCACCGGCCAGGAATTGGACCGGAGCAAACAAAGCAGTTGCCGTTGTCAACACAAACCTGGGTCGGGAGATGGTCGGGAGATAAGTTGACCAGTGGAATTTTGCTGAATTCTTGGGAAAATACGGAAAAAAAAAGGGGGCAGGGAAAATCGAGTATCCGCTCAATAGCGCAATGAGTTGAATATCGGAAAATCATTGCGCCATATGGAGTTGACCACCTTTTCATTTCAAGATTTTCAAGGGAGTAAGACTCATTGAGGCCATCACAACATACCGGCCATGGGAGTTGGGAGTTGTACCTCTAGAAATGCTTGATGCTCAAGGCTTTTCACTGTGAACATCTCTGAAGATTCACCCACTTTGCAGGTGAAATCCCCATGTGTCCATTTGTTTCATTTGTTGCAAAAAAAACGCCGGTAAATCCAACTTCTTTGCTGGTGAAATCCCCATGTTTTAGGGTTTTTAAAGCCCCAGAAGCAAGATGTCATTCAACTTCTGCGCATGTCGATTTTGCTTCACCTGCTCGATCCGTTCCGCTTCCTCGTGGGAACGAAAAGCACGTTGCGAGTGAGGCAACGGAACTCGATGCGTCAGTGGTTTGGTGATCCACGGATATTTGAAACGTAATGGTATATATATAGTTGGATATATAACTAACGATATAAGATGAGTTTGTACAAGATTATGAATACATACAGGAGAATTGATGATCCATGAGTCAATGACCCTGGAGGATTCATCGGAGTAACTGGACCCTGGTCCTGTACGTGGCTTATGGATATGGCTCACATATTTTTCCATGGCGTATACCGAGTTATACCGAGTTATACCTGTTGCCAGTTGCTCATCTCCTCCAACACTAATCATTTCTCAAACAGCCTCCCAGCAACGACTGTCCTTAGCCACCCTTCTCTGTGCGGCATGTTCACGACTGAGAGCAGCGTCATAGGCGCTACTGAGGGCGTTACACCTGCCGCGGCATCACGGAATTGGCCAAACATGAGGCGATTGGGGTCAGAATCCCAGGCCTGCAAGGATAAACAAAGATATAGATTTACTGATGAAACTCATGATGCATTGATTCCTAATTAATAGATAAATATATAATACCATTAAAACCACCAATCGGAAGTGCTCAGATCACATAGCCACGTAGCACCTCGGAGCAGGAAAAGAGCAACCAGTTGTTTCAAGTTGCCATGGACCGCGAAAACTTTCCACTTTTTGGACAGATAGGACAGGAGGGAGACGACAGCACAGTCCAATTCATCCCTGGATTCAGCCGGATCTCCATGGGGAGTTTTGTAAGGCCGGATCAGCCGCTCAAAAACACAAAATCGCCCCCGCGCCGCGATGCGCCGCGCCTCTCGATCAAATGACTGGCATCTTCTAGAGCTCCATCCACATCATCGGAAACATCCTGCAGATATCCCGTCAGCCTGGCCGACGACATGACATGACATGACTCACCGATGTTACACTGTTCACCTGGCGCCCTCCCCATGGCACTTATTCTTTCGGTGTTCAGAGATGGCCGATGAAACCAGCGAACGACGTTGGAATATCCGGAACAGAAAGAACGGATGAGTCTTGTTTCAGAAATAGCACAAGATTCTTGGCCAGCGTCAGATATATATATATATATATTAATTTATTTATTTATTTATTTATTTATATGGTGTATTATATTTATATTTATATTTATATTTATATATATATATATATATATCTATTTATTTATATTTATTTATATATATATATATATTATGTATGTTGTGTGTGTGTTGTGTGTGTGTGTTATATATTATATATTATGTATATATTATGTGTATTATGTTTGTATTGTATATATATATATTATATATAATATTATATATATATTATATATTATATAATATATATATAATAGATAATATTATATATAATATATATATAATATATATAATATATATAATATAGATAATATAGATAATATATATAAAAGATATTGTATATAATATATATAATAGATATTGTATATAATATATATATATATAATAGATATAATATAATATATATATATAATATATATAATATAGATATTATATAATATATATAATATATATAATATATATAATATAATATATATATATAAAATATATAATATATATAATATATATAATATATATACTATATATAATATATATAATATATATAATACATATACTATATATAATATATATATAATACATATACTATATATAATATATATTATATATTATATATATAATATATATAATATATATAAGATATATAATATATATAATATATATAATATATAAAATATATATATAATTTAAATAATATATATAATATTTATAATATATATAATATCTACACGACAAACGTCATTGCGGAAGTAGCAACATGGACATGGCCTTCTGCCCATGCTCGCATCGTCGGGCACCATGCTTTCCAGGCGACGTAACATGTTCCGGGCATTGCGGAGGCGACGAGCAACCACTGCCAATTGGAGTCGAATGGCAGACACCTGAGCCATGGTTTGTACAACTTCTGCTGCCAGTACCTTATAAAGTTAGGTTGGTGAATAGGGAGGGGTCATGAATCTCCAAAAGCAGCACGATCCCCAGCACGACAAGCGATTACCAGATGTTTAGGCCACTTCTCAACATGCTGTGCATCTCCATCAAACGCGGTATCAACGTGTGGAAACGAAGATCAACGGCGACTGGACCCCAACCACCTTGAATCATCAGCCTCTACTTCTACATATCTATCAACGGACTTGCAACTCATATGCTGTAGTCGCAACTCCAATCAGCCAACCTCCATGTTTGCATGCATAGGTTAACCCTCTCTTGATCAGGAAAATCTTAATAGATCTTAATAGTACGTAATCGTGTTCCATTCTATTTAGATTGCAGTAGTTATGTTATATTAGTACTGTATCTTAATAAATCTCAATAGATCTTAATAGTGTTAGAATTCGCTCAGTTCCAAGTTGCCACTCGCCTCTGAGAGCCAGCTGGCATCAGGTGTGCTGTCATCCAGCTCTGGACCCCGGTCGGGTTGCAACACCTGATCCAGGTGTCCTAATCGCGCCTTGGACCATGGCGGACCGGCCCTGGTGGCACCACCCATCCCCAGAAAAATGCGATATAGTGTGATATGAGAATAGTCATTGGGGATCACCATCATCATCATCATCATCATCGTCATCATCATCGTCCAAAACAAAGAGTCCAACTGTGTGGTGGAAAATGAAACAAGACGAAGACTTAGTTGAAACCACTGACCGAATGGTCTCTCGGAACAGGGCAAGTACCTAATTCATGTGCAAATACTGTTGCTCAGCATTGAATCAGCACTGCAGCTAAGGGTCGCCGAAAGCCCTTACCACTGAAACGAGATTGTCCACACACAGCCTCAGTATCAATACTAGGGTTGGTGTCATAAATTCTGACATGTTTCCTCGAAGTAGCCCTTCAATGCATTCCCGTCACAACTTCTCATCTTTGGATAAATTTGAATTTTTTGGCCTAGATGCTGTACAATTTGCAAACCCACGTAGCGCACATCGTGCTCTGAAAGCCGCGAGCGTGTTCTCCTTTGCTCCAAGGACAGATCCAACTCTGCACAGGTATAGATGGAGATCTACAGAGATCTACAGTGCCATCATTGGAAATTTAACTACATATTCAAAAAGTCGCTTTGCTCTGGTCTACTAAATCTATTACCAACTTTGACCAAGTATGGTCTGAAATGTTGCATTATCCCCCTGTCTGGTGGAGATGGAGCTCCCTGTGTGGCCCGTGTTTGCCAGTCAAATCCACAGATCTTCCATGATTTTCCATTGTAAAAAATTCAAACCGTCCCTCAGATTCCTCCCATGTGTTGGCAAAGTTTCACCCGTCCGAGACAATACAAAAGACATAGGTGTGTCCAAGAATATGAATATATACTCCTAAAACCCGTGTTTTTTTTGCATGACATTCCCCCTGAAAATCAACATTTCCGGTGTACACCACCTGGGTTTGTCTGAAAATAGGGACTCAGAAATCTAACAGTTTAAAAAGGCATGTTTCCCACTCAAGTTTTTATTTGGACGTAAGCCCCATTTTAAGACAACCATTTTTCATACTGGGTATATAATAACAAAAAATGTGTGTATATATAATATATTGTATCAAATATATATCTATATATATCATTTATACCATATATATCATATATATATATAACATATATATCATATATATCATACAAATCATATATATCATATATATATATATCATGTAAATCATATATATATATCATATATATATATAAATAAATATCATATATATATATATAAAATAAATATCATATATATATAAATGTATAAATATAAATATATATATATATCATAAATATACCATATAAATGATATATAGCATGTGTAAATGATATACCATACATATATCAAATACATATTGATCATATATCATATATGTATATACCATATTCGTCATATATATATATATATCATATATATATATATCATATATATCATATATATACCATATATATCATATATATATATCATATATACCATATATATATATCATATATATCATACAAATCATATATCATGTATCATATATATCATATATCATATATATATCATATATATATATATCATATCTATATATATATCATATAATATATATATATATATCATATATATATATATCATATATATATATATCATATATATTATATATCATATCAACCATATATACCATATATATTCAACACACACATATATATATATGTATATATATCATATATATATCATATATATATATATCATGTATATCATAAATATAATACAAATCATATGTATATATATATCATATTTATCATATAATTCATTCATATCATATATATCAAATATATATCATAAATGAAATATATCACAAATATTTATCATATTTATCATGTATATTATGTTTCTCATATGTATCATATATACACATTTATATATCATGTATATCAAATATATATTTATCACATATATAACATATATATCATATATATATCATATACAGTATACCATATATATATCATATATATCATATATACCAAATTTATCGTATTTTTCATATATATCAAATAGATCATATTCATCATATATATCACATAATCTATATCATATACATATTATATATCATAAACAGTATATCATATTTACCATGTATATCATTTATATCTTTTATATAATGTTCACCATATATATCATATATATATATCATATATATATATCATATTTACCATATCATATATATATATAACTTTTATATCATATATATCATACTAAAATCATATTTGTTGGATAATTGTATCATATATCATAAATCAAATATGATATATCATATAACGTATATCATATATGTATATATACGCATGATATTGTATATAAATCAGTATGTATCCCTATGAAGATGATGCTTAAACTCCCAATTTCAGACAAAGATCATGAAATTCATGGCTGAAATCACCATGAAAATTGGATCAACCCGCATACCATGAAAATTGGATCAACCCGCATATTTTTTCATGGTAAAACCGAGCATTTTTTAGCTCGCCACAGCTGGTCCAAGCTTCTTCAGCCGTTGCCTCAAAATCTCGACCCAGGCATCATCCGCTTCCTGCGAATCTACGCGGCAGAACTCCGACACCGGCCAGTCCTGGATACATCGATAGGTCATGGGGATATTGAGGATAAGCTATGGTTTGTGGAGGATATATTTATATATATATATATATATAGTAAAAGTAAAAGTAATAGTAATATATATATAGGTTAATAATTCCAATAGCTATGGAACTATGGTTTAGGCTATTTATAGGATCAACTATGGTAAAAGTTGGCAAATATCTACAATTATAGGTAAACTTGACTTCAAAAACTATGGAACTATGGAGGATAGATCTATGGGGCACCACCTTGTCGAGACCCTTCTACGTATCGAGATAGAATGTATACAGATATAGAGATAGAGATATGGATATAGATATGTCATGATGTAGGTCATGTCATGTAATGTAATGTAATGTAACGTAATGTAATGTAATGTAAGGTATGTAGGTACGCACGCATGTATGCATTATATTGCCCAGTTATATATGATTTGCCAGTAACCATTATTAGGACGAATTAAGTCCACTTCATACTTGTTCAGCGTGTACTCCTCTATTAGTTTTAGCAACCAGTAGGAAAATGGACAACTATGATCTCTCAGAAGCGATGCCACAGGAATGAATTTTAATCCAGTTCTACAACTGAGATGATTTTCGAACCAAAAACATTAAAAGGATCAATGCATAGCAAATAGATGCAAATAAAATGTGACTGGAGACCGCTACTCAAGCGGATTTCTGGGACATCCCAAATCTGAAACGACATGGCTCGCTATCTCCACCTTTACCAAGGCTCCTTGCTGGCATTGCGCGCGGGCTGCACCACAGAAACCCTGAGCATCCCAGAGGGCACCACAAAACATGACCAGCTTTTGGGATGTCAAAACATGAAGAATCACCCAGCAACAGTTCAACCATTTTAGATGCCCATATGGCCCAGATTTTTGTAGATGGAATGGAACCCAGCTGTTTGATGATGGATGTGTTTTCTCCAAAACATCTCCATTTTGGGGCCCAAAATCCAAGGCTGCCCAACAATTCCGTCCCAGTTTCAGTGTGTCGGGTCGATGCGGAGCAGAGAGGATCAGCGTGACGTGGGAGCTGCCAATTTGAACCGGTGCGGATCCAAGGCGACAACTGCTGGCGTTCTTCACATGCAGTTGGTCCAGGGTGATAAAGATATTGATGCCGTGCAAGTCCACTTTGGTAGGGCCTGGAACGTGGGCCAAAGTTGCAGTGGAAGGAGGCACCAGTGGTCAAACATTCCTGATTTGACACTCAATCTCTCTGTCACAATCTCTCTCTCTCTCTCTCCCCGAACTTCACGTCCATTCAAATCCAACGTGTGTTTCTCTTCTCGAAGCAATGTGTATATATATATATATACATACATACATACATACATGCATGCATGCATACATACATACATACATACATTACATACATACATTACATACATACATACATACATACATACATACATGCATGCATGCATGCATGCATACATGCATACATGCATACATGCATACATGCATACATGCATACATGCATACATGCATACATGCATACATGCATACATGCATACATACATACATACATACATTACATTACATACATTACATTACATTACATTACATACATACATACATACATACTTACATGTTTTCCCGAAGCGCTTTGCAGCTCCGATTGAGCCACACGTCCGCAGCAGCGCACCCAAAAGTGGTTGACTACTTCAATTTCAGGGCGAGAACAAGCATGTCAGAAAAAGTAGAGGAAATGGCTCTGCTGGGAAATGCTGCTAACTTGCACCTTATACACGGAACCGGATGGAATGGGCAAGGCGGGACCCATCCATCGAGGGCGATGAGAAAACAATTCACGATAACCACGACGATTTTGTCGGTGGAGTAAAATAGTTTGAAGTCTACGATTACGGGCTGTTTCGGATCGACGATTCTGATGTGAACGGTTCCGCGACGCACGGCAGGGTTCGTGCCAGCTTTAGCTGTTCATGGAGTAAAATGGACTGTGCCCGGTAAAGGAGTGGTACTGCCTTTGGCCCCTATCGGGGATCTGAAGCTGTCATTTATCTCTAGGCCTAAGCTGAAAAACATGAGCAAATTGCCAGTAGGCCACATCGGTGAAACAGGTGCAAACTGAACTCAGGTGCGTCAGCTCATTGTTGGTGTAGGGGTCCATGCCAAGAAAGATTTCCTGGAAGAGATTTGAGTTGTTGATGAACTTGGTAAGCTCATCCACTATGTAGTCGAACTGGAGGATATTGGTCAACTCAAATGAAGAACCTAGGATCTGCTGGTAAGAGTTCCTCTCGTTCTTGCTGAAGTGGAGGTGGTAGTCACAAAGGGGGCATGGTCTTTGTACAATGAGATTGTTGCGTCGATGTACATCTGTGGTGAGACCTGCGTCGATCTGGTAGTGATGGAAGAGCTGCTGCATAGTTATGGAAAGTCCAAGTGCTCCTCTGGGTCCTTGTTCTTCATGTAGAAGGATATTTCAGTCGAGGTTGTTCATTGTAAATCCTGTAGCTGGTAGTCCTCGAATTATAAGTAGGAGTGCTTTGTTGTCAATCGTGGATTCCAATGTCTTCAATCTGGTATCCATGGTGTCGATCTGAATGTGAGTGTTGTAGTGCTCGAGGATGCTCAAGTGTTGGAGTTTCGACCTGTTGAAGGTCAGTCAAAGGTCGCTTCTTGGTGGGGTCAATCTTCTGGAGTTTGCCTTGTCAGGGTCGAAGTGAAGTGCTTCTGGAGAGGTGAGGTTCAAGGAAGTCTGCTCTGGCTTGAGGTGAAGATCGAAGTTCCTGTTGGGGTCCAAAGTCCAAGTCTGAGAGCTCTACATCCTTAGCTGATAGTGCAGTGAGAAACTCTTCCCATCCTTGGTCTGTTCTGGGTTTCTTTGCAGGAGAAGACTCTCTGGTAGTAGCTCGATGTTGCCTGATAAGTTCAAGTTCTTCTGGAGCGAAGGTCTCAGTGGTAGTAGGTGATGTAGTCGATGTGGCTTGAGGAGGGTGAGGTGGAAAAGCTTCAGGTAGGTCTTGAGATTCTTGAGATTCTGGCTGCTTAATATCCATGGTTTCAATTAGGAATTGCTTCAATAAATGTGTTTTGTAAATGAAACATAGTAACAAGTGAGGGCACAGCCCAATCAACATGTGGTCAATGAAAGTAAGCATTGAAGGGGAGGGAAACAGAAAAGGGCATGAAACTTGGGGCATGCTGTACCAACTGGCATGACAGCATTGCTGACTGTGTGGCAAAAGCTAAAGCTCGTGCCAAATCCCCCCTTCTATATATATATATATATAGACATACATACATTACATTACATTACATTACGTTACATCACATTACATTACACTACACTACACTACACTACACTACACTACATTACATTACATTACATTACATACATACATTACATACATGTATATAATATATATATACATATAAATGTCCCGAAACCATCAACCATGAGTAAAGCCTTGTTCGATGATGTCCTCCACCCCCAAGGGTGACAATCGATATTTCACCGTCAGCGCCATCAGCAGCATCAAGTGGCAGCCGCGCAGATGCAGCCAGCGCTGCACTGGGCAGCCTTACCGAAGCTGCCATCGTTATGGCTCCGGTGGCCGAAGAAAAACTGCAGCAACTTTTCCGCTTGCAGGTCCTGAACCGAAACGGGGAGGGGTGGTGCTGTTGGTGGCAAAGTTACAGTGAAAATGCTGATGTTGAGATTGTTCGTGTCCATCAAAATTGATGCGTCTTTGTGTGGTTCTTTGGGAAATGGGAGGTGAGGATCGGCCCGTCGTCTCTGGTCACTGTCTGGTCACTGTCTGGTCACTGGAAAGCCATCTCATAATGGGGTGACCAAAAATTTTGAGCCATGCCCTATATAATATGAATTGATCTACAGGAATCCATTGTTTTCCCCTGAAATATAGGGGATTCCTCCAAGTTTTCCCTTACACCAATCCATTGATAATATGGTAGAAAGGTAATATATCAACTGTTTGCAGGCGCGCTTTTGGATGGAAGAAAAGACACCAAGCTTGCGATCTCATTGTGATTCAGATTGGCTTCTGTACCAACACTCATGGTACGAGTTTAGTTTACAATGGATATCTCGTAAAACGCGTATAGGATATAAATAGTATGCAAATGATTTGGGCACATAGAATTGAAGTATATCATTGCCCTTGATCTACTAAGAACATAGGCCAACCGCATGTTCTGAATCACTGCGTCCTGAATCACTGCATTGTGCATGGTGTAGTCCACCAAAGTCAAGCGGCCAGGTGGCACACTCCAACTCACGCTTCCTGCGCCCAGCTCATATAGCGGCTGGGGTATGAACTGGGGTGAACTGGACACAAATTGACACGTAAAAATGATGCAAATAAGCACAATCCACAAGCGTTTTGACATGTTTTGATGGGATATGTTTCCCGTTTCTAGAGGTTCATAACTCCTGTTCTCCACCATTGAGCGATAACGGACGGTCAAGTTATGCTGCTTATGTTTGATGGGTCCCTCGCTTGGCCTTCGCCCCTTCCAAGTAGCTGTGCCAGTTTGATTCTGGACAGAATCACATCCAGCTCATCAGCGCGAATGCCTGCCATGCCAGCTGGTCTCTAGTGATTATCATATCTACTGTGCTGATGGGAGTTATGAAAGTGTTGCTTGAGATTAATTCGGGAACTCCACTGGCCTTCCCTGTGGACCTACCTTTGCATCAACTTTCCAGAAACTCCCAGTTTCAATATCTTTGGATCGTCAGCAGGGACAGCCATATCCGCCATATTATCCATACCCCGCGTTGCATGAGTTGGGTATTGTCAGTTGATTGGTCCAGAACAAGTGGCTGAAATTCACCCAGGTCTTTTTGGTCAAAGATGTTCAATCCTCATCTCCGAAAAACCTGGTTCGAAACCCAAATTTTCCCTGAAAAACGTTGCTTCAATCGCCCCGATGTTGTTCATCAAACCCTATTTTCCCCAATTTTTGGATGGTTTAAAACCCTGTTCTCCTCCAAAAATGTTGCTTAAATGTTAAAAAAATCTTGGTTGCTGCCGCACTGCCCCAAGTTGTTTCTGGTTTTTCCTGCCCCTTCAAAACCTGCCTGCGTGGCAGCCCCCGCGATGCGTCACCAGAGCAAAGGCGCTGCTCAGTGGCACCAAATCGGTGCAGGTGACGCCGATGTGACCGAGTCCCTCCACCAGCTGCTGCGCGGTCAAAATGGGCTGCCCATTGGAGACGTGCTGAAAAATCCTCGCAGATTTTTTGGAAACCAGCGAAATGGTGGAAAATATCGGACATATATAGATTTCATTTGATTTCAGCAAAAGGGATAAAAATGGGAGCCACAAATGACCGGAAATGAGAATTTAAGCAGCAAAAAGAACGGATACTGTGTGTTCTGTTCGGCAACATAAGGAACAACTCGTACTAGTACCATGGCAAAAAAATGGGATGCCATGGGAGTATGATGATACACCATACTCGGAATATTTAAACTGAAGCTGTGGGAACTGAGAACCATGTTTTGGGTGATTTTTAGGATCCGCCATCTGCTGAAACTCAGATTTTCTGCCGGCTTGGATAAAAACCACCTGCCCAAGGCAACTAGACTAAGGGGACCCCAATCAGGTACAGGTTGTCAAACGCACAGCAACACGGCACCCACTGTTGGAACAAGTGGCTCTTTGACTCTCTCGGGTGTCAAATCGAAGTGCTCTTCCAGCATGTTTTCTCCTGACAACACGATGGCCGTGTATCAATCCTCCACAGCCCTGCTCTTGACATGCTCTGCTCTGCCTCACCAAAAACAATGATCTAAAATATGCAACCAGACCATGCAGCGGCATTGCCAATTGCAAACAAATACCTACCTCACCTTCGCCCAGAGAACCAGGTAACCATGCCCCCCACCGTGCCCTTCAGTGCGAGCGACGAATGCTTCGCGCCCGCATGTTGGACTCGCGAATCTCGCTGTCCGCCGCCAGATTCTCCGATCCCGACAAGGATTCCCGGAGTTGGCGCATCAGCACCTAACTGGTATGGGCCACATCTTGTCACTGGGAATCCTCACACCTGTATTTTGAGCCACGGGTAATATGCTTGGAATGTAACCTTTTTCTGCAAGTAATTATGTAATGATTCCTGCAGATGCGCCATTTCGCTGATCAACTGCATTGCTAAGATCGCTGCAGGGAAGTAGGTCGTATTGGCCAATGAAAACCACAGATCCAGATCGCTCTGTGCCTGCCGCTCAGAAGAACCGGTGCAAAAACCTACAACCAGCATGCCTGCCATTTCCCCAGCCTTCTCCAAAGCGTGGATGGGCCGGCCCTCAGCTCCAAACATCTCATCTGAGGTGCGCAAACTTTCCAGGAAATTGTTCCTAATGGGCTGCAGAATCTGCGGGAAGGGAATCTGGGAGCAGAGGGAGTCGACTATGTCACCCATCTCTGTTTGCTATATGATATATATATACATACATATATATATATATACATTCATGTATACATATATATATACATATATATATATATATACATATTTATATATGTACACATGTATCTGTATGTACCATATGTCTATGTGTATATATATATATAATGTCTCTGCGCGATATGTCTGCAATGTATCGCAATACATAGCCGAATCCAACTATGTTCACTTTGGAATTGGCTCTGTGCAGTTAGCTCTCTGCCAATGGATGCTCATCCCCAACTGATGAGCCACCTAGCAATATATATATATATATATATTTATATATTTATATTTATATATTACATGTATGTATATAAAATGTATATCATATATATATATGCATGTATTGTGCATGTGTATATGTGTATATTATATATATATATCACACTAGCGTGGTTGGCCCCAATTGATGGATGAAGCATCATTGATACTGTCATTTGTCCATAAGATGGACGTATTTATGTATATATGCTTAGAGATACATGATATACACATAGATTTGTCGACACAAAAACACACATTCATGTACTAATATGTGTATGTACGTTTCCACATATATGCATATATCAATTTAATACATATCCATATATCATGATACCCTATACAGTCTATAGATGTATATACAATATAGGGGTACTCCCAAATCATCCATTTAATATATAGGACTTTCCATTATAAACAATCCATTTAATATATGAGTACTCCCAAATCATCAATTTATATAATATATAGGATTTTCGATTATAAACCATCCAATTTTGGGTGTCCCCCCTTTATGGAAACCCTGTATATATATATACATATCCAGATATATCATGACATATCTAGTCTATAGATGTATATACAGTATATACAGTCTATATACAGTCTAAATACATTCTATATACAGTCTGTATACAATCTATATACAGTCTATAGACAGTCTATAGGCAGTCAATAGACAGTCTATATACAGTCTATATACAGTCTATGTACAGTCTATGGACAGTCTATAGACAGTCTATATACAGTCTATATACAGTCTATGTACAGTCTATACACAGTCTATGTACAGTCTATATACAGTCTATATACACTCTATATACAGTCTATGGACAGTCTATAGACAGTCTATTTACAGTCTATATACTGTATATAGACTGTAAGTCGATAGACAGTCTATATAGAATCTATATACAGTCTATGGACAGTCTATATGCAGTATATACAGTCTATATACGGTATATACAGTCTATATACAGTATATATAATCTATATACAGTATATACAATTTATATACAGTATATACAGTCTATATACAATATATACAGTCTATATACAGAATAGACAGTCTATATACAGTCTATATACTATGTACAGTCTATATACAATCTATGTACAGTATATTCAGTCTATATACAGTATATTCAGTCTATATGCAGTATATACAGTCAATATACAGTATATACAGTCTATATACAGTATATACAGTCTATATACAGTCTATGTACAGTCTATATACAGTCTATGTACAGTCTATATACAGTCTATATATAGACTGAAAGTCTATAGACAGTCTATAGACAGTCTATATACAGTCTATATACAGTCTATGTACAGTCTATATACAGTCTATGTACAGTCTATATACAGTCTATGTACAGTATATTCAGTCTATATACAATCTATATACAGTCTATATACAGTATATACACTCTATATACAGTATATACAGTCTATATAAAGAATTTACAGTCTACATACAGTCTATGTACAGTATATAGGGTCTATATACAGTCTATGTATAGTCTATATACGGTATATACAGTCTATATACAGTCTATGGACAATCTATATACAGTCTATGGACAGTCTATAGACAGTCTATATACAGTCTATATACAGTCTATGTGCAGTCTATATACAGTCTATGTACAGTCTATATACAGTCTATATACAATATATACAGTCTATGTACAGTATATACAGTCTATGTACAGTCTATATACAGTATATACAATCTATATACAGTCTATGGACAGTCTATATACGGTCTATGGACAGTCTATAGACAGTCTATATACAGGCTATGTACAGTCTATACAGTCTATGTACAGTCTATATACAGTCTATATACAGTATATACAATCTAGATACAGTCTATGTACAGTCTATATACAATCTATGGACAGTGTATATACAGTCTATATACAGTCTATATACAGTCTATGTACATTCTATATACAGTCTATATACAATATTTACAGTCTATATACAGTATATACAGTCTATATACAGTATATACACTCTATATACAGTATATACAGTCTATATACAGTCTATATACAGTATATATACAGTATATACACTCTACATACAGTATATACAGTCTATATACAGTATATATAATCTATATACAGTATATACAATTTATATACAGTATATACAGTCTATATACAATATATACAGTCTATATACAGAATAGACAGTCTATATACAGTCTATATACTATGTACAGTCTATATACAATCTATGTACAGTATATTCAATCTATATACAGTATATTCAGTCTATATGCAGTATATACAGTCAATATACAGTATATACAGTCTATATACAGTATATACAGTCTATATACAGTCTATGTACAGTCTATATACAGTCTATGTACAGTCTATATACAGTCTATATATAGACTGAAAGTCTATAGACAGTCTATAGACAGTCTATATACAGTCTATATACAGTCTATGTACAGTCTATATACAGTCTATGTACAGTCTATATACAGTCTATGTACAGTATATTCAGTCTATATACAATCTATATACAGTCTATATACAGTATATACAGTCTATATACACTATATACAGTCTATATACAGTCTATGTACAGTCTATATACAGTCTATATACAGTCTATTTGCAATATATTCAGTCTATATACAGTCTATATAGAGTCTATATACAGTCTATGTACAGTCTATATACAGTCTATATACAGTCTATATACAGTCTATGTACAGTCTATAGACAGTCTATATACAGTCTATATACAGTCTATATACAGTCTATATACAGTCTATGTACAGTCTTTAGACAATCTATAGACAGTCTATATACAGTCTATATACAGTCTATGTACAGTCTATATACAGTCTATATACAGTCTATTTACAGTATATACAGTCTATAGACAGTCTATAGACAGTCTATGTACAGTCTATATACAGTCTATGGACGGTCTATAGACAGTCTATAGACAGTCTATATACAGTCTATATACAGTCTATGTACAGTCTTTAGACAATCTATAGACAGTCTATATACAGTCTATATACAGTCTATGTACAGTCTATATACAGTCTATATACAGTCTATTTGCAGTATATACAGTCTATATACAGTCTATAGACAGTCTATGTACAGTCTATATACAGTCTATATGCAGTATATAGGGTCCATATACATGTATACATATTGCATATCTCCATAGTTCATGTGGGAAACCTGTCAGTCGAGCTGCGGCTCGGCGCTCATGGCCCAGCGCAAGACTCTCCGTCGTTCCACCATGCCGAGGCCCAAATCCCGCAGATCTTCCTGTGGAATCTGCAGATCACCATGGATTTTTCATGGAAAAATAGGGGGAAAATCCATGGAATCCTGGGTAAAATATAGGCGATTCTTCTGGGGAAAACTGGACCATGACTTTTTGAAAGACATTGAAATACCTTGTTTTTAGACAAAAGAAACATATCTGGGATAGTGACTGACATGAAAAAATTACTTCACTTCGAATGATCCCCACCATGACATTTATACATTTTCTTACTGGCAAATCTTCTGGCATTCTATCTGACATATCTTCTGGCATTCTATCTGACATTCTATCTGGCATTCTATCTGACATTCTATCTGGCATATCTTCTGGCATATCTTCTGGCATATCTTCGGGCATTCTATCTGGCATTCTATCTGGCAAATCTTCTGGCATTCTATCTGGCATATCTTCTGGCATTCTATCTGACATTCTATCTGGCATATCTTCTGACATTTTTTCTGGCATTCTATCTGGCATATCTTCTGACATTCTATCTGACATATCTTCTGACATTCTTTCTGGCATATCTTCTGACATTCTGTCTGGCATATCTTCTGATATTCTTTCTGACATTCTTTCTGGCTTTCTATCTGGCATATCTTCTGACATTCTATCTGACATCTTTTCTGACATTCTTCCCGTTGAGGTCCGGCAGTGCCCACTGCGATCTGGAAGTCGCGGTTGAGGTCCGGCAGTGCCCACTGCGATCTGGAAGTCGCAGTTGAGGTCCGGCAGTGCCCACTGGGATCTGGAGCTCGCGGTTGAGGTCCGGCAGTGCCCACTGGGATCTGGAGCTCGCGGTTGAGGTCCGGCAGTGCCCACTGCGATCTGGAAGTCTGGAAGTCGCGGTTGAGGTCCGGCAGTGCCCACTGCGATCTGCAACTCGCGGTGGAGGTCCGGCAGTGCCCACTGGGATCTGGACTGCGAGGAGGAGGAGGAGGACGAGGAGGAGGAGGATGCGGAGGCGGAGGAGGAGGAGAACAGCTCTGATAAAATCTAACAACCCTCACCTGGCAGGTGGGGAATTATATTAGAAGTGAAGATGAGCTCATGTTGAGTGGGGTACCTGATTGATATTAGCTTGGATGTGAGGTGGAAATTGGGTGTATAACCAGTTTCGATATATTCCAAGATTTCGCAGATTTTCGTGTATAGTGGGGTATTAGTTGGGACATGAGCAACAAAATTGGGTAGGACAAGTGGTGGGAGGATATACAATAGATGGTAATCTATCTTAGTCACAGAACCTGTTGATCATATCAATTTTATATTCACCACAATGTTCAAAAAAAATGAAGGAAACTCAGCTGGGATCACCTAGTCCTAAGTCGGATGGAAAAATCAAAAAAATCAATGAAACAACATTTCGTCATATACTTGATGAACCACTGTCTACAACCTACAACCGCGTCTAACTGCCATGTGGTTTCCAGAGTTCCATACTCCCTAAAAGTCCTAAAAGCATCTAAAAGCGGGAAAAAAAAGAAACACCTGTCTGCCAAGATCATATCATACAGTACTCTACACTTTGAGCATCCCACTGTGGATAGTCATTCCACGTTCCTCCCATGAAGGGATGACCGGGATGACCCCAAAAAAAACCCTCCTTGTCCAACTCTGCCAAGTCCAAAGCCGTCATAACTTGCTCTTGCTGCAATCGTTTTTTCAGGTCTGTACCCTTCATGGCCTCAGCTCAAAAGAATTCCACCGGTTTTCTGCAAGTTTTGCGTCTTGAATTGTCAGTGTCCATCACATGTGGGGAAAGATGCAACGGACACTTTCCTGTAGAACAAGAGTAAAATGGGATGGTCCTACACCAGGGCTACTTGGCTACCACAAAAATAATCCTTGAAAATACCATGCCCCTTACTGACAGCTCGGCCCCAATCACATGTTTAGAGGCACTTAGTCTTCCAACCCCGACTCATGGCAGGGTCGGCTGCTTTTTTATCTGCTTGTATCATAAATCACATGTTCAAATCCCAACTTTTGCCGGTGAAACCCCAACTTTTCGCTGGTACAAAAATGATCAGAGACCCCAAACAGCGTCGGGGTGTGGGAGGATAAGAACCCCTCAGTGTGGACACACTGTTTGGGGCTTTTTCCCCAGGTTGTCCCACCAGGGGCCCACACATGTGGCGCCAGCAGGCCCAAGACATCCTCCGCAGAGCTCACCGAGGTTTTTCCACCCCGGCGGAGGAAGACGGTGGAGGAACGCTCCACGAAGCCACGCACCAGGTCAGCCATGGCATGGATGAAATTCAGAAAATGAGGGAAATGGGGATTGAGTCAACAAAGAGTATCTTATATATATATATATATATTGTATCTTATGGGGAATGAGTATTGCAACTTAAATAGGAAAGTATCCAATGGAAGGTTTACTTACCCTGACATTCGGGATTTCACCAACATGTTCGCGGGGGTCTGGACCACTGGAAGCAGCACCACTGCTCTTGTTGAACATCTACTTCGGAATGAGCCCACAAAACTTCCCAGAAAGTGGAGAAAGTATGAGAAGGTAAGGTGGTATCTTTTGTGGACGCAACGCTGGTTCCGGGGGTCAAGCCATGTTCCAAGAGGGTGATTTCTCTCATCCACCAGGTCACGACAGGGTCACGACCGGGTCACTGTTCATTGCACTGTTCATTCTTGCAGCTCTTGCAGCTCGCAGTGCTTGAGAAAAAGCTGCATGTTTCACGCAATCATTTCAGGCGTCACATGTGTCATGTCCAAAGAAAGAGCACATGGAGCTGGCTTGAGGCTTGAGGGTCACTTTCCGCTGGTGGCGACAATGATTTGAAGCTCAGATATTGCTTCCTGCCAGGGTTCGGGGGTTTGTCACGGGCATGCCAGGAAACCCCCTCCAGTCTACTTGTGGGGCCAAAAAATGGTCACCTCCAGGGCTTCACCCCACAACACGACCCATTTCACCGGCTACTTCAACCCAATCTCTTCAAGATTTTCATAAGTCAAAACTTTCAAAACCCAGTACCCAGATGGTACCCTAAAATAGCTGGCCAATGGATGTTTATTCACCCAGTTATGGTAACAAGGGTTTTGACCCATCCCTCACCATGAACCACCAGGGATGGGGTGGGCGTTCTGCTTTGGAATCCCCAACTGAAAAAGAACCCCTCCCCCGAAAAAAAACGGTTCAACAGTGGGTCAATCTCAATATATCTCAATGTTTTCACCAGTTAAACATAGTTAAACATAGTGGAAACATAGTTAAACATAGTGGAAACATAGTTAAACATTGTGGAAACATAGTTAAATATTGTGGAAACATAGTTAAACATAGTGGAAACATAGTTAAACATAGTGCAAACATAGTTAAACATAGTGGAAACATAGTTAAACATAGTGGAAACATAGTTAAACATAGTTAAACTCCAAAAAATGGGGGAAATGCATCCATCTTTTCATTTCCCCTGTCCTCTTCATTTCACCAGGCTTCACCTCCTCCTGATCCTCCCCGCGACAGAGGCGGTACACAAAGGCGCCTGACCTTACAACGATGGCTGATTGGGAAGCCATGGTGATAACATGGCTATGGTATATTTGTAATATATCAACTATGTAATATATCATGGCTATGTTATCTATATCTATATGTAATAATCAAGTATGTAGCTTATGTTTATGTGTTTAAATATATTGAATATTGGTACTATGTATATTGTATATTAACGGCAAAGATATTGCTGGGGTATACCATGTCCCAGTAACATTTAAGCTTCCTTTTTGGTAATCAAACAGGGCTACAAGGAAATTTAGCAAAAATCATCTGTGAATGAATATGTTCAATTGCCATATTTGATTACTGGAGGGTAGTACCTTTTGGTAATTTATAGATTGTAGATGGCCCATCGTGCGACGATTTACCTGTCATTGCCAGAGGGTAAACAGTTTTTCTCCGGAGTCGGATACCAGAGGGAATCCCACTTCGTCGTTTCAAAACCTACATATATACATATATACATATATACATATATACATATATACATATACATATATATATATATATATGTATATGTCATATATATATATGTCATATATATGTCATATATATATGTCATATATATGTCATATATATGTCATATATGTCATATATATGTCATATATGTCATATATATATATGTCGTATATGTCATATATATATATATGTTTGGGGTATAGCTACTTAAATGGGGTCACAAAGGTGGTCAGGAATACGTCCCATTCAGTTGTTGATTTATCCGATTTGGGGATACACTGGAGCAACCGCAACCCAAAATCCCTGAAAAAATGTGGTTTCACTGGTGGGTCCAGAAATATTGTTGGTTATGTTTGATGTTATAGAGATTTATAGGGTATCATTATATTCATATGTCCATGTTGTTGGTTTTATACCCTCCGGTAATCAAACATAGCAATGGAAGATTCCCCATTCATTGATGATTTTCCCATTGAAACCTGGGAAAAGGGGATCTTCAATTTGTCAATGACTACCGGAGGCGAATCCTACTATATTCCCGTGATATTCCCGTGATATCCCCATTCTCTTCCCTAAGGATTCTCAACCACCAGCTATCCATGGATCCCTGCTGCTCCCCTAAAAGGCGCTGCAACTCAGCCAGGGCTACCTTGGCACAAAAAACATCAAAAAACATCATCCAGATGCCGATGCATTTCATTGTCAAATGGGATGATTCAAATGAGTATCCGGTGATAGATTACATCATCCCCTTATAACTTATATCCCATTTAAAATATCTTAATGCGGGTTGATCATTGATGGTGTGTTTTATTCACACAAAATGGTTTCGATCAAATCAACTAAGGGTGGAAAGAAATGCCCAAAAAGAGTGGGTCAAAAAGTTGGCATCCCAAAAGAGTTTGGACCTGATGAATTAGTTAGCAGTGGATGAGTTGAATCAAAGTCGATGTTCAGGAAACAATTTGGGCGGCTTGAAAGAAACTCAATCACAATTCTACTACTTAACCATTAACCACTAAGCCTGAACCATTAACCATTGACATGAGATTAACCTTGTCATTGGACATCGTATACTTTTTGGAACCCTCGACCTTAGGCGACCCACAACCGTCCCTGGGTTCAAGGCCTTCTGCAACTCTGCACTTGGTGCCTGACCGTTCATTCTATCGAATGAAATGCAACATGATGCACGGCGATGATCTCATGTCGTGTGAAATAAAATATCTATGTGTGTGTGTATATATATACACACACGTGTATGTGCCAATGTATGTTCATACATACGTAGGCAGGCAGGCAGGCAGGTAGGTAGGTAGGCAGGCAGGTAGGTAGGTAGGCAGGTAGGCAGGTAGGTAGGCAGGCAGGCAGGTAGGTAGGCAGGTAGGCAGGCAGGCAGGCTAGGTGGGTAGGAAGGCAGGCAGGCAGGTTTCGGGGTAGGCAGGTAGGCAGGGAGAGTGGGTAGGTAGGCAGGCAGGCAGGTACGGGGAGGGGTAGGTAGGCAGGTAGGCAGGGGTAGGTAGGTGGGCGGTAGGTAGGTCGGCAGGCAGGCAGGTTAGGGGGTAGTAGGCAGGTAGGCAGCGGTAGGGATGCAGCAGGCAGTAGGCAGGCAGGCAGGGCAGGTAATGGTAGGTAGGCAGGGCAGGCAGGCAGGTAGGTAAGGCAGGTAGGCAGGGAGGTCTAGGTAGGCAGGCAGGCAGGTAGGTAGGAGGTAGGGCAGGTGGGTAGGTAGGTAGGCAGGTAGGTAGGCAGGCAGGCAGGTAGGTAGGCAGGTAGGCAGGTAGGTAGGCAGGCAGGCAGGTAGGCAGGTAGGTAGGTAGGTAGGCAGGTAGGTAGGTAGGCAGGCAGGTAGGTAGGCAGGCAGGCAGGTAGGTAGGCAGGCAGGTAGGTGGGTAGAAGGTAGGTAGGCAGGTAGGTAGGTAGGTAGGCAGGCAGGTAGGTAGGCAGGCAGGCAGGTAGGCAGGCAGGCAGGGAGGTAGGTAGGTGTATGCGTTTATGTTTGCATGCATGCACTGCACGTACCGTACCGTATCGTACTGTACTGTGATGCAATGCAATGAGCGGCTCAGGGAGTTCTCGAGGTTCACGAAGACTACCGTACACGTGCGGGCGTAAAAGCGGTCGCTTCTATACATATATGTGTATTCTACATGTATATATACAATGATAATAATAATTATAATAATAATAAATAATAAATCATCATCGTCGTCATCATCATCATCATCGTCATCATAGGCCATAATTGTATATATAATCTACTATAAAATGATACAATATAAGATAATATAATAAAGTATAGTATAAGTATAATATGTCTTTTCAAAAAATATAATATATAATATAGTGTAAAATACAAAAAGTACAATATAATAAACATATGTATATATATATATTGTTATATAAGAAAAATGGCTTACTATAATGTGATATAAACAATATAGTATATAATGAAAAATATAATATATAATATGTAATATAAAATAAACGATATATAATATATAATATATGATATATAATATATAATATATAATATATAATATATACTATATGCTTTAGAATATAGAATATATAATATAGAATATATTATATATAATATAATATATATATTATATAATATATAATATATAATATATAATATATAATATAAAACAAAATATATAATATATAATATATAATAAATAATATTTAATATATAATATATATTATATAATATATAATATATAATATATAATATATAATATAAAACATAATATATAATATATAATATATAATATATAATAAATAATATATAATATATAATATATAATAAATAATATTTAATATATAATTTAAAATATATAATATACATTATAGAAAAAAAACATCGAATATATAATATATAATGTATAATGTAGTATATAATGTACAATATATTATATAATATATGGCATAATATACAATATAGTAAAAAACTATAATACAAAATACAATAATATATTATAATATAATGTAATAAAATATAATATAATGTAATGTAATAATATAATATTATATACTAATATAATATCATAATACAAAATAGAATCATATAATATACAATACAATACAATATATAATATAAAATTAAATAATATAATATACAATACAATACAATACAATATAAAAAATAATATAATATAATATACAATACAATACAATATATAGCAATATATATCAATATATAATATAAAATTAAGTAATATAATGTAATATACAATACAATACAATACAATATATAATATAATATATCATAATATCATATAATATACAATACAATACAATATATAATATAAAATTAAAAAATATAATATACAATACAATACAATATATATCAATATATAATATAAAATAAAATCATATAATATACAATACAATACAATACAATATATAATATAAAATTAAAAAATATAATATACAATACAATACAATACAATATATAAAATAAAAATAATATAATATAAACTATAATATAATATAATATATAAAATAAAAATAATATAATATAAACTATAACATAATATAATATATAAAATAAAAATAATATAATATAAACTATAATATAATATAATATATAATCAAATATGACATATCAAACCCAAAAAAACAGAAAACGCCTCGGGTTCCAGCTGCAAGGCGCTGCGGAGCTTTTGGCCCAGCTTCCCTCCCAGGCCACGCCTTGGGAATGGATTTACCGGGCAAAAATAGGGATCCAAACATGAAAAACCATGGGATTTAACCAGCATCAACGGGGATTTGACCGGATTTGACATGTGACAATGTGGATTGAAGAACTCAAAATGGGAGGTAAATGATGGGAAATTGCGATTGAGCATTGAGAATAGGAGTTTAATCGTCAAACATTGATAGCAAACCACGGATTTACAAGTCAAATCTGGGGCGAAGTAATCTCTGAAACGAATTCTTGAAGTGTGGATCAAAGTGATCGATAGCGGGATTGATTCCAAAATCCACAGGTTTTTGCATGGCTTTCAGAAAAATCTTCCCCAAAGCCGATTGGTTGCGGTGGAGCCCACTCCTTGGCAGATAGGTAGATTGATACCATCCATCGGGCTGGAAAGTAGAACAAGACCACCAAGCAATGAATAGGGGAGATTCAACTTGTGCTTACGTGGTGGTTTGGGTTGGTGGTTTGGAAGTCTGGGAATTGATGGTTTTGTAAACTTAGAAAAAGCAAAAAATATCAAACCCTGCAAACAATGAAATCGTTGAAAATAAAGAAAACAAATTTAAAACAACAATGATTGCTACCAGATTAGGTTTGTTTTTGAATTGATATTCACCTTGTATCTCGGAAAATGTACACTTATTTAATGTCCAATAATTTCACGTGATTGTTTAATTGATTATTGAATTCTAGTGCATTTTTCTGTACTTGTCTAATTATTTTTGAAATGGGGGAAAGACAGTTTCTTGAAACCGTGTGGTCCTATCCTGTACTCTGACTGATGCAGGTTTCATGGATTTTCCATGGAGCTTCCATGCAGGTTTCATGTTGGTTACATGCTGGGTTTGCAAATTTAGCTTACTGGTGGGTAATCTCCATGACAACTCCCTGGAACCTGCATGGAATCTGCATGGAATCTCCATGGAACCTGCATCAGTCAGAGTGCATGATAAAACCAACAAGTGTAGATAGAGGCACCACCTCCATAACGCACATGGAAACTGCATGAAATTCTACATCAATTCTCCATGGAACCTGCATGGAACCTCCATGAAAACTGCATCAGTTAGAAGGCGCCATGCAACCATCACGTTTAGACACAAGAAACAACGGTTACCTACATGAAACCTCCATGAAACCTACATCAATTCTCCATGGAACCTGCGTGGATACTCCATCAAGGAAGACGCCATACAATCATCAGGTGTAGATACAGGGAACATGTTCGAGTTTTTTAAATGGAAACTACATGGAAACCATCAGAGGCTTTGATGCAAATCGATCGCAAATCGATCGTAACTAAATTGATCGCACAAAAACTGTTATAGCATCTGTGCGTTTTGATGTCGTTTTCACTAGGCCATCTGTCTTTGCTGATGTTTCTTTTGGTTTCTGTACTGGAAAAGTCAAATTCTTCCAGAATTTCTATTTATCCTGAGTCTTCGTTGCTTGGCGGTTTTGATGTTGGCAAGGCCAGGGTTTCAAGTGTGGACTTTGTAATGTGTCATTTTGATGTAGGATTTCGACGTTGTTTTGCGATCATTTTGCGATCCTTTGTCGATCGATTTGACATCGGCCTAAAAACGAATAAAAAGGCCATAAAACAACATCAATATGACATCGACAAGAACCTAAGGCCTGTAGAAAACGGCACTTGCCAATTCATATATTCATATGGTTTGGTGATCATAGAATCCAAGATGACATAAGTGAGTTCATTTCTCTTGGTGGTTTCGTCTTTTAATTAACTTAGTTTGCAATATTATATGTTAGGAACCTCCATCAAGTTGACACCGAGACAGACATAAAACTCCAAAATGACACCAAACAAAAATTCACATTTGAAACCTTGCCAAAATCGAAACCACCAAGCAGTGAACACTCAGGATAAATAGAAAGTCTGGAAGAAATTGACTTTTCCAGTGCAGAAACAAAAAGGGACATCAACAAAGACAGATGACCTAGTGAAAACGACATCAAAATGCACAGATGCTATGACAGTTTTTGTTCGTTTTTTTTACGATCAGTTTACGATCGATTTACGATCGATTTGCGATCAATTTGCGTCAAAACGTCTGATGGTTTCCACGTAGTGTCCACTTTAAAAAAAAAAAGTCTCTGTTCCCTGTATCTACACCTGGTGCTTGTATGGCGCTTCTTTGATGGAGTATCCATGCAGGTTCCATGGAGAATTGATGTAGGTTTCATGGAGGTTTCATGTAGGTTCCGTTGTTTCTTGTGTCTAAACGTGATGGTTGCATGGGGCCTTCTAACTGATTCAGTTTTCATGGAGGTTCCATGCAGGTTCCATGGAGGATTGATGTAGATTTCATGCAGTTTCCATGTGCGTTATGGAGGTGATGCCTCTATCTACACTTGTTGGTTTTACCATGCACTCTGACTGATGCAGGTTCCATGGAGGTTCCATGCGGATTCCATGCAGGTTCGAGGGAGTTGTCATGGAGGTTACACACCAGTAAGCTAAATCAGCAAACCCAGCATGTAACCAACATGAAACCTGCATGGAAACTGCATGGAAACTCCATGGAAACTCCATGAAACCTGCATCAGTCAGAGTACTGTACAGGATAGGACCGCAATGGAATTCGTTTCAAGAGAAACTGTTTTTTTTCTCTGCTTTGCTTTCATGTAGATTATTTAGATAGAATAGATAGGTAAGGTCACTTGGATAGAGTAGGCATATTAGATAGATAAGATAGAAAAGGTAGACTAGGTGGATTAGATAGATTAGATAGATTAATAGACAGACTTGAAAGATTAGAGAGGTTGGATTAGATTAGCTTAGATTAGATTAGATAAGATCAGAGAAGATAAGACTAGTTTGATAGACAAATAGACAAACAAATAAATAGATAGATTATGTAGATATATGAGATTGATAGATTGATAGATAGATAGATATATAGATAGATATATAGAAAGACAAACAAATAGATATATTGGATATGATATATTAGATAAGTAAATAGATAGACAGACAGACAAACAAACAGATAGACAGATACTTAGAAAGATAGATTAGATTAGATTAGATTAAGATTAAGATTTAGATTTAGGATTTAGATTTAGGATTTAGATTTAGGATTTAGATTTAGGATTTAGATTTAGGATTTAGAATTAGGATTTAGAATTAGGATTTAGATTTAGGATTTAGGATTAGGATTTAGAATTAGGATTTAGAATTAGGATTTAGAATTAGGATTTAGGATTAGGATTTAGAATTAGGATTTAGAATTAGGATTTAGAATTAGGATTTAGAATTAGGATTTAGATTTAGGATTTAGAATTAGGATTTAGAATTGGGATTTAGGATTAGAATTAGGATTTAGAATTAGGATTTAGAATTAGGATTTAGAATTAGGATTTAGAATTAGGATTTAGAATTAGGATTTAAAATTAGGATCTAGAATTAGGATTTAGAATTAGGATTTAGAATTAGGATTTAGAATTAGGATTTAGAATTAGGATTTAGAATTAGGATTTAGAATTAGGATTTAGAATTAGGATTTAGAATTAGGGTTTAGAATTAGGATTTAGAATTAGGATTTAGAATTAGGATTTAGAATTAGGATTTAGAATTTGGATTTAGAATTAGGAATTAGGATTAGGGATTAGGATTAGGGATTAGGATTAGGGATTAGGATTAGGGATTAGGATTAGGGATTAGGATTAGGGATTAGGATTAGGATTAGGGATTAGGATTAGGGATTAGGGATTAGGATTAGGGATTAGGGATTAGGATTAGGGATTAGGGATTAGGATTAG